TCCAAAGTGATGCCGAATTGCACTATTTGCGGCATCACGAGTCATGATGCCATTTGAAAGGAAGGATGCGATGGATGATATAGTCTTGAGCCTCTCTTTTACAAATGCTTGAAGATGTTCCAGTTATTTTTCTGGCTTGTGGTGCGATGGTTTGTCATGTCAAGCGCTTAACGGGGCTCTGCGCAGTGGTATGTGGCGCCATCAAAGCCCACCCAACGCGGCTCAGGCTCGCAAGGGCAAAGGGTTCTGTTTGGGCCGCAAGGAAGCAATAGAAAAGTTGGAGCAAGCAGGACGCATATTCAGTGCCGATTTCTACCTGCAGCTCCACCGGCAGCAAGACTTGTCAAACAACCGCGGTATGGCTGCCGCTGTGGACGCTATCGTAACCAACCTCCTTGATGACAATGCAGCATAAGACAGGTTATCATTGACGACGAGCAAAAAAACTCGTATCCGCGGCTTGGTTAATACATTGCTAACTTGATATACGACGCGTGTATTCTTCAACATGCTCAAGCGTGGTCCAGAGCTGTGCTGCGACGAGTGCGATCTTTTTCAGCCGAATGCGCTCACGCAACCAACATGGTGCTGTTGGCCGAAACGTACATGTACGTTCTAACGGACCACCACCGACGCACGCTTCAGCTTCTGTTTGGTTTTCGATTGCATGGTAAAGCGTGTTTGTTGTCGTGATTTCGTGTTTCGCGTAGGCTACTTCTTGTACACATGTCGCGCTCTATTGGGATCGGGCGTCACTTCACGTCCACTTGACCGCTAGATCTGACAGAGCGGCACGTAGTACTTGTATCGCTTCGCTTCGAGGTCATCTCCGTGCGACTTTGCCGGGATCGAGACGACGCGCCACGCCTTGACGTCGAGGATGTGCCACGTGCCGCTGTAGTTCAGCGTGAGGAGGCCGGCCATGGCCGCGGACGCACAGTCGATCAGGTACTCGCCCTCCGAGACATCGAGAAAAAGCGCGTAGAAACTCTGCGAATTGAGCACGAGAGTTGGCAGCGCGAGAGCTGGCGCTGGCGTCCAACGGTCATAGCCAAACGTTAACGCCATGCAGGTCAGTACGATAAGAATCGATGTTTGGAGTCGGTCGAAGCTTCCGATGGGAATGCGGCCACTGACGCACTCGAGACCGCTGTCCATGTCGACGAGAGCGCACTGCCGAGAGAGGCTCGCGACCTCGCCAAGTGGTGAAAAGACAGAGTGAAGCACCGTGCAGACCCACGTCAGGAGCGCACTTTTTGGCGCGTACGTGGCTGTGTACTGTTGTGTGATGCAACTGAAAGCGTCGTTGAGGACGTAGACGAGCCATGTAGCTTCGCTGGCCGCCAAGATCTGGTTGTACCACGGCGCGGACACCGCGTTCAAGAGGGCTCCTTCGCCACGGCGGGCGAGCAGCAGCGTCTGTGTGTTGAGGAGGCAGAGCGCCGTGACGCTGCGCACGAGGAGGAAGCTGCGGCCGATCCAGGCGATACCCACGGAACGGTTAATCTCAAAGAGGTTGCGGCCGTCGATGCGCCCACGGGCGACGAGGGCGTACACGAGCACGACGGCAGCAATCGCGACCAGAACCGTAGAGACGTACACTAGTGCCTGGAGAAAGTTATAGCTGTACGTGTGTGGGATGTGAGACGCGTCGGGTGTCATTAACACCGCGCTGACGCTGTGGCTGATGACAGATAGGCTTCCGTGGTCGCCATCGAAGCGTATGACCTCACGCCGGCCATCGATCCACTCGCAGAGCAGAAGCCAGCCATAGAACGTCCACGCAGCATCGCTGGAGCCAAAGAGCGGTTGTTGGAGCATAGCGGGTGCGCGACCTACGCCGACGTAGGCAAACTGCAGCACGCTAACGCCAAGCGCCGTCATTGCGTCGGCGGTTGAAGCACTCGAGACCATGGCGGGGGCCAAGCTGGCATTGTGTGTAGCGACAAAGGCCGCGATTGTCGCATAGTCGGAGGCGCAGTTGACAACGTCGGTCCGGCACAAGCCCGACGACAGCAAAAAGCATCTGGTCTCTGGTTGGGCTTACTGCATAAGACAATGTCGCGTTGCCATTCGGTAAGCTCCCGCCGAACGCAAAGGGCTGGGTCCACTGGTTGTTGTCGCCACTCGTGCTTATAGAAGGGATGTGCGTTGACGCCTCGGTCGCCAGTGCCGTGATGGGCAATCGTAGGTACGCGGTTTGGGCCGAGAGGTTGGACGTTGTGAGCGCTGCTATCGCCGTCGTAAAGTCAGCGTAGAGGCGCATAGCACGGGCTGGCGGCAGGAGAAATATCATGTCGACAGCGTTGAATGGCCCGAGGGACGAGCGCAGTAGCGCCAACTCGTTCGTCGGCGACGCGGCTAGCGTGCCGTTGTCGATCAAAAGTTGCTCGCTCGAAACGTTGGTGAAGGCGAAGTTGGCACTTGACGAAAGCAAGCTACGCCCGCCAATGCGAGTCGTGTTGGTGCTGACAGCCCAGAGGTCACTGGCGAAAGACCAATACATGCGCATTGACGTTTGCTGCGCCGGGTGGAAGTGCGACGCCACTTGGCTCAGAGGTAGCGCGTGCTTCAAACCCAGCGCGTTCTCGATCACGAAGGCCTCGCGGAACCCAATCGTCTTGTAGTTCTGGTACTGTAGGTCGAAGCGAGAGATGCCATGGGCAACCCAGTAGACGATTTCACCGGCTACAGACAACGACGACGAAGCAGGTTGCAGCTCTGAGAGAAAGGACCGACCACGCAACGATGCCTCAAGGTCGGCGCGTATCGCATAAGCAAACGAAGAGCCCCAGCACCACTCCCAGCGGCTCCAATCATTGATGTTGCGCAGCGGCACCTCCAAGTAGACAGCTCCGTTGGTGGCCATCGAGGACGCACACCGCGCTTGCCGAGCTGCAGTGCTGGCCATCGCCCAGCGTTGGTCAAGGTCCAGCCAGCAATATTGAGTAAACAGCCACGGCAGCTGACATGGTTCCATAGACCGCAGACCAGAGACGGCCGTGTGGAGCGTCACAACGCTTGGATCGTGGAGCACTCGCTGGGCCGTAGTCGCAGGGCACGCAATCTGCGTCGTCGAGTCGTTGTAGAGGGTGCTGTAGTCGACAAGAGACGTGGCACTGAGACTAAGCATCTCAGTGGACGAGTGAATCAGTTGTCGATTGAAGGTGTTGGCGACGAACGCGTACGTGCCGGAAGCGTAAAATTCGGCCCAGAAAAAGTCGTTGGCCATGTACGCTTGGGCGATCGCGAGGTACGCAACGTTGCTCGACAGTGTTGCGACGAGGTAGAGGCCGCCGAAGAGAAGTGCAACGGGTCGCAGCTTCTTCTGCAGCCACGAGGTAGGCACAGGGCTAGCTCCTAGCGACGGAAGCGTCCTTCGCCCAACAGCTGGCAGCTCGTGTACCGTCGCACGTCGGATGTACGTATCTGGCGACAGAGTGAGCCAGAGCTTTGTGTCAAAGACGCGGTTATTGGGCAAGCAAAAGACGCCGCAGAGCGCGGCAGTTTTAGCAGGACTTAAGAAGGTCCGGCCGTCGCTTAGCGGGAGGTGTCGCAGGACACTGGATGGTAGCACGAACGAGCGGTTCTCGAGTTCCAGCCAGCGGCCGCTTTTCCATCGCCGGTACACCATTCGCCCCACCGTTGAGCTGAGAATGACGGCCATGTGGACAGCAAAAATGGTCAGAACACGTTGAGCGTCACCGATCCGCACGTGCCCGCTTTCGCATTGGACATTCGTGGTCATGTCGACGGCAAAGCAGCTGCGATGGAGTGTAGCTTCAACGGTTAGGGGCACAAGTATATCTAAAGCTGCGACCAGTACCCACGAGAGGCAGCTCGTGACCGAGAGGTAGGTACTGCCGTGCGTGAGAGGGTGGAGCAGTTCTTGCCCAACGTACACAAGCCAGAGGGTCTCGCCGGCGAGTAGCCAAGTCGTGTGCAGTGGTTTTTGCCGCAGCGTCAACTGCACAAGACCTTTTTTGGAAGCGACCGAGACAACATCAGAACTCCCAAGGCAGACGCACGCTGTGAGACCGCGCGAGATGAGAAGGCCGCGGTTGAGGTACACGAACGACACGATACGGTTCAAGTGCAAAAGTGGCACCTCGTGATTCGAGGGCTGCAGCAACCAAACGACAGCAACAGCAACAGCCAAGAGGCTCAATATCACCGAAGAGGCCGCGGCAATGTACCAGTAGTACACGCTGAGAGACGTGCTTTGCAACGGCGCGGGGCCTGGGAGACGCGCAAGCTGACATGAGGTGCATGGAGCTCACGTCGCCTTCGACGGAAATGACCTCTCGGGCATTGTGAACCCAGTCATAGAAGCTCAGCAGGCCGTAGGGTGCCCATTCGTCGCTGATTATTAGCGGTGTCTCCAGTCGCATGTTGGAAGCGTTGCTCGACGGAGCAAGGGTTTGCATGATGCGAACGTCGAGAGCTGCAAGAGTTGTTGGTGGATCAGGCATCGGCGGCAGAAGCGCGGCCGCACTCAAGAGGGCCTTGACGTACGCAAGACAATCGCGGTTGCCGTCGGCGTGACTGCACACGTCACTGGCGCTAGAGACGTTCCCAAAAGCGACGGCAAAGAGTCCGCTCAGCGGCGTCCACGTGAACCTTATCGGTGACGGTATGTTACACTCATCGTCGTGGTTGAACGAATCCTGGGCAAACGACTGGAGGCGGCTGTAGCCGCATAGGGGACTTCCGCCGTAGTAGAGGTTGGGTCCTTGCCACGAAAGTGGCGTCGCCGACCAACTGCTCGATCTTGGTATGGCTTCAAAGAGCGCTTGAAAGGCAACGTTTGTCTGCAACTGGGACACGATAATCGCGTCAAAGCAGTGAACGTATGCGACTGGGGTCGGGACGCTGCCATCTCCCAGCGCCTCTCTAGGTCGAGCCAACAGTATTTTGTGGGTAAGAGGTCAACCGCGCCACGCTGAGACGCCGTAGGGCAGCGAGAGCTGCCGGGAGCGTCGTGAGGTCTTGATGCAACAGGAGACGGCCATACCCCGTGTGCTGCGCGTCATATGCGTACTGCGGAGTGAACAGGTTAAAGGGCGTGGTCGCCGTGTCGCCGTGGAGGGTGAGTGCGCTGTTGAAGATGGTCTGGAGTGCTATCTTGCTGCTCTCAAACTCGACCCAAAAGTAGTCGTTTCTCAGGTACAGCGCAAAGAAGTAGAGGCAATAGACGCTGAGAGCGACCGAGACACCAACGTAGCGAGCCCAGCGAAGTGGCGCCATGGTGTCGAGCGCACGGGGACGAGTCCATCTTGTCGCACTTTAGAGTTCATTTTAGCAGTTTCAGTGGCTGCTGTTTGCGCAAGCCGCGACTGGTGCGAAATCCAGGAACCGTTTCCCTCATTTTCAGACAGCCGATGCTTGTGGGACCATGGTTCAACGCGGTTCACGTCCTTTGCGCTTTTCTACCGGCGTGATTTTGTCTTTGTTGAAGCTATTCGTAAATTTGCGTCACGTGCATATCGCCAGTATATGTATTTGCATTCGTTGCAGGGCGTTTTGACCGCGATGCCCCGCAAGCTAACGGAGAGTAATGCTGCTTCGTCTGAACACCACCCTGCCAAGCCCTTCTCGACGTACGATAGTATCTGTACAGGACAGTGCACTGGATGCAACGAGGCAGAGGTGTCGACAACTGCGGAGGCTTCGGACACGTCTGCTTGTGCACTGCAAAACCATTTCGAGCGGCTGCCCTTTTAGAGTATGACGCGCTTGTAGGTGCAGCCAAGAACTTAGTGCAGCCAGCAAGAGTCGCTAGTCGCCGAGCCCATCGAGCGCCTCAACTTGATCGCACCACTTTCCGGACGGTCAGCGACAAGATCTGGTGCGCTGCGTTTACTGCATGGCTGTCTCTACCAAAAGCACAAAATGCCACAAGGGTCTGCATGCTGCATGGCCAGCACTTGGAGAACAAGAGATGCAGCGCGCGATGGAAAAACCTCATGCCAATAAACTCACACGTCGTGCGCAAAAGCCAGCAGGATCACGACGAACCCCTTCCTCGCGTTGGCCAGTGCGCCGGCGCAAGTGGCCAGATCGGCCGCCCAATTTATTGCAACGATGCGCCCTTCTTGTTCGCGACGTGCGCATCGACTACATAGTACTGGTTCCTCGGCTGCATTGAACCGACGCTGTCAATGGCGCCTTGTCGCCCCGACACTTCTCTGTGCATATTTATCGCCAGTGGTAGACCACTTCGCTTGCGATAGTCAATATCTCAGCTGTCAGGACGTAGCGTCACGATCACTTGAACCGTCGTTCGAGTGTGGCGAGAGCGGGTGCTCCCTGTGACGCGTCACGGGTTCGAAGCTCCGACTTCCTCGGATCTCATGCATAAGCCATCTGCTCTACTTGTGCCAAGCGTAGAGGCCAACCCATGCGCTCGCGTCCTTCCAAAGATCCTGACTGCAACGCATGACTCTGCAACGGCTTTCTTTCGGCCGCTGGATGTTTCGGTTCCGCCGACGTCGAGACGATGGCAGAGCTCAGTTTCCAAATCACCACCAAGAGCCCAAGTACTACCATGGTCCGCCTCCTCGCCTTCGCCCTCGCCTCGCTCCTTCCCGCGTGCGTCACAGCGCAGCCGATGCTCGGTGGCTGGCACAACACGACCAACATTACCGAAGGTCTCGCGGAAACGTACTACTCGGCCGTCTCATCGCCTACCAGCTACGCCGCCGACGCCACGCTCTTCGTGTGCGCAACCACCGTCACGAGCGTCTCCGCCCAGGTCGTGAGCGGCATGAACTACATCTTCCACGTCGAAGGCTGCGCCGTGCCCTCGGCCACCGACTCGGGCGCCGACTGCACGTGCCCGGCAGCGCCGACCGCCTACGACGTCGCTATCTCCGACGCGCCGTGGATGCAAGTTCTCAGCGTCACCAGCATCACCCCCGTCTAGGACCCTCGTGTCGTTGTACCCAGCAGCTCGCTTGTCTGGATGGCTAATTTGCGTCAAAATTACTATGTGTTTGGCTTGACCACTGTGGGCTTGCGCACGGCGCGCTTGTACATCTTCTTGTTGCGCTCGACCATGTGCACCTAGACGACGCACATGAGGTCTCTGCACCATGATCCATTGCGGCGCCTACGTAGTCTTTCATGTGCGTGTTGATGTGGATCCTAGGCGGTTGAGTAAGCACATGAGGAGGAGCAAGGCGTACCGGTCGGGGATGTGCACGTAGAGGATCATTCGGCCCATCACAAAGAGCTCGTCGAGGTCCAGCACATTTCCCTAGGCCCAAAAAGTGAGCTGCTACAGCCTCCAGCGAGCGCGCACCGTGGGTCCGACTTGGCGCACGTGGCTCAAGCGCACGCTATGCGAGCATGAGTGCCACTGTCGACGTCGCCGACGTACTCCATGCCTTGGCTCACTTCCTCGACGACGCCCGTGAGAACGCGCTCCGTCTTAAGCTCGATCGTGATCTCCATGCCCAGCATGCTCTGGAGCACGACCAGGAGCGTCCGGTGGTCACGCCGGCCCTGCATCGCGCTTGTCGATTATCGAAGCCCTCGCCGCTGGCGCCGGATTCGCACAAAATCACTTCGTTTTAAGCGTGGAGCGATCCGGATTGGCTGAGAAGAATTGTTTTTAGCCAATCGGATGCCGGCGTGGCGGACTACGTTCAAATTGGCAGCAGCTTGGGAGGTGCGCAAGGACGAGCGCCCGCCGACGAACCCAGGAGACGGTGACGGTACGTGGCATCATCGGACGTCGAGACAATCTCTTCCTGTACATGTGGATCTTCTCGGAGCAAGAGCTCATGGACAGTCCGTCGCGCCGGGACGGCGTCCCGCGCCATACCATGGACTTGTACCGCATCCGCTGCTGCGAGTTCATCGAGAAGATGGGCGCGATCTTTCGCCTCCCGCCCCTGTCTATAGCTAGCGGCAAGATCTTCTTCCACCGGTGCGCTACATCATGCCAGTGTGCGCGCGTCTCATGATGCTGCCTCTAGCTTCTTCGCCGTCCAGTCCTACAAGGCCTACGACGCCTGGCGCATCGCGGCCACGTGTCTCTTCCTCGCGGCCAAAGTCGAAGAGCATTACATGAAGATCCCCGATTACACAAAGCACTACCTCGCTCAGCGCAAGAAGCTCACACACGACGCCAAGCTGCCCGAGAGCATCCGACCGATCATGCCGACGAACCCGACGGTCGAGGCCGAGACCGAAACCATCCTCTTCACCGAGTGCATCCTCCTCCATGTGCTTGCGTACGACCTCAACGTCATACACCCGTACACGTTCGTGGCAGACTTTGTCGCAGCCGCTCTGAACGCAGCGGGTGCGGTCTCGGACGCCAACACCAAGGCCTTGAAAAAGGCCGCGTGGAGCTTCATCAACGACACATCCAAGAGCACTGTGTGCTTACGCTACAAGCCGCGCCATATTGCCGCCGTCGCCGTCTACCTCGCGGGCTGCTACGAAACCCTGTGGCCCACGGGCTCGTTGGCGCCGGACGGGACGCCGTGGTCGACGCTTCTGAGTGTGCCCGACGACGTTCTCCGAGGTTGGCTGCCATCGTCTTTGCTTGTATCTACATCGATGCGTAGGTTCGGTGGTGATGGTTCTAACGACCTACAGCCGCGTCGAGTACCACAAGAACCGGCCGCTGGTCCCCGGCATCCAGCGACTCCTCGAGACCAACAGCATTCCCAAGCACTCGCAATAATGCAATAGTATACACCTAGTCCCATCACAAACGTGTAAACCCTAGCCTTCGTCGTGCACTGATCAAGCGTCGATGCGACTCGTTCGAAGTCACAAGTTGAAGGCGCTGGATTCAACTGCGTGCCAATTACGTTTGTTGTGCAACCTTATTCGTCCACCGAAACACTGTAAAAGCCGCAAGAAGCCCGACACGGCGTCACGGCGTAGTTGGTCAGCAACGCGCCGTGGCACTTGCACCCGGGACCGGTCTTGGCGTGGCTCTCGACGGCGCACGTTTGAATATGCAGCGTGTACATGTCGTCAGCTATGATGTCGAGGCTCGTAAAACGGTCTGCGCAGAGATTGGGAAAGTTGGTGGCGTTGCTCCGATGCGCCTTGTTCAAGGCCTTGTAGTAGTAGGCCATGGCTTTGCTCGAGACGACGAGGCCAAACGACGTGCGGCCTGGAACGACAGCCGACTGCTCGACCTCCACACCCGTGATGAAGCGAGAGGTCGTCCACGGCTCGTAGATGCTAACGGCGTACGCTTGAACCGTCTTCGTGGAGCACGAGCAGGTGCGGTTGGCGGTCGGGACGGTGTTGATGACGCAACCACTCACGTGGTATCGATAGTTGGTGCCCGACACGGGCTGCGTGTCGACGGTCGATATGGCAGTCGTGCAGATCTTGTCGGAGGTTGCGTTGAGGTAGCTCGACGATGCGCTGATTACGTCAAAGTACTTGGTCACGAGCGAGTTAGTCAACTTGACATTGATGGACCAAGCGCCTTCTTGGCTAACGACGGGCGCCACGACGAGCACAAGCAGTGTTTTGATCCAGTGCATCGAGGACAATCAGAATATGATGGTCATCACCTTGGGCTGCATGGTCGGAGAATCTGCCAACCGTCGGCATCTTTTTTCCCACAGAACGAATCCTGGTTGTTGTTTGTCATCGCACCTTCCCCGCGTCTCCACTCGCCCGTTCGTGTGACGAGCGAACTCGTGGCGAACGCGCACGTCTCGGGCTTTGACTTGGTTTTGAGCACTCGAGTAGAAATGCTTGGACATTGATTCCAAAGGTGCCAACTCCTTGCGGGAGTACCAGTTGAAATGCTCGACGACCGCCGTTCGAGCGGCGCTGCTGTAAGAGGTTACATAACTTCTTATCAGCGTCGACTTGCACAAATGCCTCATCTTTTCTTTCAGCTGTGTATTCAAGCGCACGCAGTTCTCAGTTGCTCCAATGTTTAATCGTTTGGTTTTAGTTGTTTAGTCACGGAGTTGCCAATGCATTTAAACCTCTTAGTCGTTTAGTCACTTAGTCGTTTAGTCTCTTAGTCGTTTAGTCTCTTAGTCATTTCGTATATTAGTCGTTTAGTTGGTGAAATCTTTGGTTGTGTCGGATTGGCTGTTTTTTCGAAGCCGGTGGATTTGTGGCAGTGCCGAGTTTGCATTTTCAGTCGAAAGCGACGGCAGACGAGGGCACGGGCGCGTCCTTCCATGGCACGTCCGGTTCCTCAGCGCTGCTAGAGCAAAGCCCCAGACGCAGCCCTCTTTCACACGAGAAACTCCTCCATCTAAACATACTATCGTCGCTCGCCCTCGGGCGAGTGGACACTGAGGTCACGGGACCTGGATCTGTCAAAAGCACGTAGAAGGTACGGCTGCGCTGGGGGGAGAGCACTTGTCAGGCCCGCATGAGTCCAGCGGGTCTGGATTAACCTCTCCAACATTCTACGTTCATCATAGCGGCAAGATCGACTAAGCTCTTAGATAACATGAAGTACATGAGAAGTTGCTTCTTCGACGGTTCGCTCAGACAGACGTCTTCGCAAGGCTCCTTCAAGAAGCCACTTGGGCGCCGTGCGCTGCGATTGGCCCGTTCCGTGGCGCCGATCTGGGCGTGCGAGCGTGTGGCGGGACGTGGCTCTGCCCAATGCGAGCGAGGAGCTTCGCACCAGCTGCTACCTCAGGCTTCAGGCGGGAAACTCGGGGTCGATTCGCCGCGGAAACGCCCGTTGCCGAAACGCCCGCCGCCTTGCTACACGTCCAGCAGCAGCAGGACAAATCCAGCGGCTCAACGCCGCAGTGTCAATCAACGTTGGCGGCTTCACGCACACTCGATATTCGACTAAGAACTAGATATCGACTCCGCGACGAGACGACTGCATCGCCCTTGGTAGCATGCTATTTCGAGCGCGAACCGCTCCGAAGGCGCGGGCGCCATCTTCTTGGCGCCAAAATTAGCGCTGCGTCAGGACCAGTGCCTCTGGGAAGCGATATCACTATATAGAGGTCCGCCGATCGCGCCAAAACGAGGGGTCAGTTCCGCATTTGCCGCCGCCGACCAAGAAGCAGCATGTACGTGGTCAAGCGCGATGGGCGCAGCGAGGACGTCAAGTTCGACAAGATCACCGCGCGCATCAACAAGCTCTGCTACGGCCTCGACCCCAACTACGTCAACCCGATTCTGATCGCGCAAAAGGTCGTCGCCGGCGTCTACGCGGGCGTCACGACATCCGAGCTCGACGAGCTCGCGGCCGAGACCGCGGCCTACCAGTCCACGCAGCACCCCGACTTCTCCAAGCTCGCGGCGCGCATCTCGATCTCGAACCTGCACAAGAACACGCACAAGGTCTTCTCGGACAACATCGAGCTCTTCTACAACAACAAGCACGCCAAGACGGGCGCGCCGGCGCCGCTCATCGCTGAAGACGTGTACGCGATCATCATGGCCAACAAGGAGCTCCTCAACTCGGCCATCATCTCGGACCGCGACTTTGAGTACGACTACTTTGGCTTCAAGACGCTCGAGAAGAGCTACCTCCTCCGCGTCGACGGCAAGGTCTGCGAGCGCCCGCAGCACCTCATCATGCGCGTCGCCGTGGGTATCCACAAGGAGGACATTGCCGGCGCCCTCGACACGTACGAGTACATGAGCCAAATGTTCTTTACGCACGCGACGCCGACGCTCTTCAACGCCGGCACGCCGCGCCCGCAGCTCTCGAGTTGCTTCCTCCTCGCGATGCGCGACGACTCAATCGAAGGCATCTACGACACGCTCAAGCAGTGCGCGTGCATCTCCAAGTGGGCGGGCGGCATTGGCGTCAACATCCACAACATCCGCAGCACCAACAGCTACATCCGCGGTACGAACGGCTCGTCCAACGGCATCATCCCGATGCTCCGCGTCTTCAACGACACGGCGCGCTACGTCGACCAGGGCGGCGGCAAGCGCAAGGGCTCGTTCGCGATCTACCTCGAGCCGTGGCACGCCGACATTTTCGAGTTCCTCGACCTCAAGAAGAACCACGGCAACGAGCTGCACCGCGCGCGCGACCTCTTCTACGCCATGTGGATTCCGGACCTCTTCATGAAGCGCGTCGAGTCGAACGGCGACTGGAGTCTCTTTTGCCCGAACGAAGCGCCGGGCCTCCACGACTGCTGGGGCGCCGAGTTTGAGGCGCTCTACCACAAGTACGAGTCGGAGGGCCGCGCGCGTAAGACGATCAAGGCGCAGCAGCTCTGGTTTGCGATCCTCGACTCGCAGATCGAGACGGGCACGCCGTACATGCTGTACAAGGACGCGTGCAACTCGAAGAGCAACCAGCAGAACCTCGGCACGATCAAGTCGAGCAACCTCTGCTGCGAGGTCATCGAGTACACGAGCCCGGACGAGGTCGCGGTGTGCAACCTCGCGTCCATCGCGCTCTCCAAGTTTGTCACCGACGGCGACTTTGACTTCAAGAACCTGCACAAGGTGTCCAAGATTGTGACGCGCAACCTCAACAAGGTCATCGACGTCAACTACTACCCGATCGAAGAGGCGCGCAAGAGCAACATGCGCCACCGCCCGGTCGGCATCGGTGTCCAGGGCCTCGCGGACGCCTTCATCCTCATGGGCTTCCCGTTCGAGTCGCCGGAAGCGAAGAAGCTCAACATCCAGATCTTTGAGACCATCTACCACGCGGCCATGGAAACGTCGATGGAGATCGCCAAGGAGCTCGGCCCGTACGAGACGTACGCCGGGTCGCCCGTCTCGCAGGGCAAGTTCCAGTACGACATGTGGGGCGTCTCGCCGACGGACCTCTGGGACTGGAAGACGCTCAAGGCGCAGGTTGCGGCCCACGGTGTGCGCAACTCGCTCCTCCTCGCGCCCATGCCGACGGCGTCGACGGCGCAGATCCTCGGCAACAACGAGTCCATCGAGCCGTTCACGAGCAACATGTACTCGCGCCGCGTGCTCGCTGGCGAGTTTACGATCGTCAACAAGTACCTCATGAAGGAGCTCATCGGCCTCGGGCTCTGGAACGCCGACGTGCGCAACCAGATTCTGCACGACCGCGGCAGCGTCCAGAACGTGGCGACGATCCCGAAGCGCATCAAGGACATTTACAAGACGGTCTGGGAGATCAAGCAAAAGGTCGTGCTCGACCTCGCGGCCGACCGCGGCGCGTTCATCTGCCAGAGCCAGTCGATGAACGTGCACATCGCCGACCCGAGCGTGAGCAAGCTCACGTCGATGCACTTTTACGCGTGGAAGCGCGGCCTCAAGACGGGCATGTACTACATGCGCTCGCGCCCCAAGGCCGATGCGATCCAGTTCACGGTCGACCAGTCGGCCATCAAGCGCCAGCAGGCCGCCAACGCCGGCAAGGCGCCCACGGCCGCGCCGGCGCCGACTGCCGCGCAGCCGGACGAGGAAGAGGAGTGCTTGTCGTGCGGTGCGTAGGCGCGTCGCCGCTGCGTATTTAAACAGCCCAATCGACGCGACTTGCTTGTTTTTATGCTCGGTCCCTTGGCTCTGCGTCGTCTGTTGCGTCCGTGGTGCTGAATTTGTGGGTGGCCATCTGCCGGCATGGATTTCTTGGCCGGCGCAGATGGCCAGTCTTCGCAAACAGAGCGCGGTCGACGTTGAAGCCTGGCGACTGTGGGTGTCAAGCGGGTGCAACTTGGTCGCCCTCCCCTTTGCACAACTTGCAGCTCCATCCACTGGTTCGTTGGCGATGGGTATACCCTCTGAAAAAGGACCAGACAAAGGAGGAAGTCTCCCTCGCAGCCGCGCGCCCAGCCACGAGTGGGACGTCAACTTTCACGGGGCGCGCCGGTCGCGTGCACTGGCGGGGGTTGTGTAACCCTTTCCGAATGACTCGGAGCACAAGAAGAAGATGAGTCGGACGCCTTTGTTCCGCTCGACGGTCGCCAGCGTCGGCTGCTTGATTTCGCTGGATTTTCACGTGATTTTCACACGCACCCATTGCACACACGAGGCGCTTGTTGAGGTTGAAGCGTATTTTTATTTGCCACGTGTCGCACCTTGAAGTTTGTATTGTGCGAGCCCATTTTTATTCCCCTGCAATCTTCCTTTTCAACCAATCAGGAGGCGCGACGGAGCCCCTCGAAGAATATTGGCCTCACTTTGCATTTTGCCCCATCCACCCTCCATCGCCATGCCCAGCACCCGCGAAGAACTGCTCGCCGACAAGGAGTACGTGCAGACTAAGATCGCGATACGACTCATCTGACGCTTCTACTAGCTACGACCTCATCGTCTCTGGCGACTGCGGCGGTACCAACACCCGCCTCTCGCTCTGGCGCGTGCCCCGCTCGCAGACCCACGCCTCGGGTACAGCTCGGCTCCGCAGGCGTCGTCGCCTAACATGCATCATTCCATAGTCGTCGGCAAGATCGCCCCCGGCGAGGTCATCTTCAACAAGAAGTACCTCAACCAAGAACACGCGAGCTTCGTCGAAGTCGCGCTCCTCTTCCTCAACGAAGCCGGCGTCGACGAGCCGCCGGCCTGCTGCGTGCTTGCTTGCGCCGGCCCGATCTTGGACAACTCTGTCGTGTACGTGTGTCCCATGCGCATCGTTTATGCTCATCGTGTTGGCGCATAGCTTTACCAACATTGCGTTTGGCTGGTCTATCAAGGGCGAAGTGCTCGAGCGCGAGCTCGGCATCCCGCACGTGAAGCTCATCAACGACTTTGCCGCCATGGGCTACGGCCTCTTGACGCTCCGCCCGCACGAGTACATCACGCTGAATGACGCGGTGCCCGACAAGCACGCGCCGATCGCCACGGTCGGTGCCGGCACGGGCTTGGGCCAGTGCTTCTTGACGCCGTCCGGCGAAGGCACGTACGAGTGCTACGCGTGCGAAGGCGGCCACAGCGACTTTGCGCCCGTCACGGACATTGAAATCGAGCTGTACAACCACCTCCGCAACAAGTTTGGCCCCAACAAGCGCCTCTCGGTCGAGCGCATCGTCTCGGGCCCGGGTCTCGCCACCATCTACGCCTTCTTGGCCGACAAGTTCCCGGAGAAGGTCAACCAGACGCTCCACGCCGAGTTCCTCGAGGCCGATACGCTCCAGGGCGCTGTCGTCGGCAAGAACGCGCCCACGGACGACCTCTGCAACCAGGCCATGGACATCTTTGTCCGGTACGCTCCTTCTTAGCCACAAAGTCGTGGGCTCACCATCATGTCTAGTGCCTACGGTCGCGAAGCCGGCAACGCTGCGCTCAAGTACCTCCCGCGCGGCGGCTTTTACATCACGGGTGGTCTCGCGCCCAAGAACCTCGACTACTTTACCAAGTCGAGCCTCTTCTTGGACGCGCTCTTTGACAAGGGTCGCGTCAGCCCCGCCCTCAAGGTCTTGCCCATCTACTTGGTGCTGACCGAAGACTTGGGCGAGCGCGGCGCGCACTACTACGCCTACCAAGTACGTCGCATGCTCTCGAGGATCCAATGACTCATGAACTTCTGTGGTAGCTCCTTGGTAAGACGATCCTGGACGCGCAGCGAGCGCAGCCCAGCGCCTACGTCCACCAAAGCAGTACTCACAGTGTCTTGGATCCTAGCGCTGCCCCGATCTCGATCAGCTATGCCTTGATGGCGGCGGCGGGCGTTGCGGGCGTCGCTTTGGGCGCCGCGTTGAGACGTTAGGTCGAGCTAGAAGCGAGCGCAGCTGTGCATGTTAACATAACACTTGGTCTTTTCACTGCTTTGTTTGCCCGTTGCGCTTTGCCGCAAGCACCTCGCCAAAGTCGAAAGAGCGCGTCCAGAGGGGTGTATTGGCTAGTTAATTTTGTTCTTTCGTCAGGCGCCCGAGACCATTCAGCGCGGCGACGCGGTAGCCCTAGTCGCAAGTGTTTCAAAGAGGCAGCAACTCGGCGTCGTACCTCGGCGAGCGTCGGGTAGTTGAAGACGGCGTCGCGGAAGTACGTGAGCTTGCAGTTCATGGCCATGGCCACTAGTAGACTGAAGCCTCCGAGACAATACATGCGCTTGCGTACCTTGGCCAATGTGGATGATCTCGGTGGCGCCGTGCCCAATCGCGTGGACGCCGAGGAGCTGGAGCGAGACGGGATCGAAGAGAAGCTTGAGGATGCCTTCAATGTCGCCGCTCATTTGGCCCTTGGCGAGCTCGGAAAACTTGGCGAGACCCACGGCGTAGTTGGCGCCTTCCTTTGTGAGCTGCTGCTCCGTCTTGCCGACCATCGAGATCTCCGGGATCGTGTAAATGCCGTACGGGTAGTTGCCCGACTCGAGCTGCGACGTCGTCTGGTCCTTGTCGCTCCACATGTCGCACGCCGCGAGCCGGCCCTGCTCCATGCTCGTTGACGCCAGCGACGGCGCGCCAATGCAGTCGCCCGCGGCGTAGCTAGAGCGGTCTAAGTCGCTGTTGGACACAGGTATCGAACGTACATGTGCGGGTGCGACGTCTGGTACTGTTCGTTGACCGTAATGAGGCCGCGGTGGTTCTTCGAGAGCCCGACCGCTTCGAGGTTGAGGCCGTCCGTGTTGGCCTACGAAGATGTTACGGTATGAAATCAAGGAGGACGAGTACCTGGCGGCCAACGCAGTAGAGCAGCGCCTCGGCAAACATAGCCTTGCCGCTGTTGAACTCGACCTTGACGCCGTTCTTGAAGTGCTCGACGCTTTTGATGGACTCGCCGAGGAGGAAGCGCGCGCCCTTGTGCCGCATCTCCATCTTGAGCGAGCTCACAATCTCGTCGTCGCAAAAGCTCAGGATCTCGGCGCGGCCGTCGACGACCGTGACGTTGATGCCCGGCAGCACGTTGAGCATCGATGCGTACTCCATGCCAATGACGCCGGCGCCGACGACGATCCAGGACTTGGGCAGCTTGGTCGTGCCGTGGTTGAGGATCTGGTCGCTGTCGAGGATGACCTTGCCGTCGCAGGGCACGAGCGGGCTGTGCGCCGGCCGCGTCCCGCACGCGACGAGAAACTTCTTGCCGCGGAGGCGCGTCCTACAAGTCTATATGAGAATGCGAATGCGGGCAGCACGGGTATATACGGCTGGCCATCGTCGCCTTCGACCGACACTTCGTTTTCATTCTCAAAGCGCGCGAGGCCGGGCACGAGGTCGACGCGCGCGGCCTTGAGCTGCGCCTGAATCACGTCCATTTCCTTCGAGACGACCGTGTTCACGCGCCCGAGAATGTCGTTGAGCGTAATGTTGTCGCGCGCATACGACTTGCCGTAGAACCTACGCGCCATGCGAATGAGCTAGAGCGAGGCTGGCGCTGCGCACCCTTGGTGGCGGAAGCCCGAGAGATGGAGCACGGACTCGCGAAAGGTCTTGGACGGAATCGTGCCCGTGTGCACGCAGACGCCGCCAATGCCAGCCTTCTTGTCGATGACGGCGACGGTCTTGCCCTTCTTGACCGACTCGATGGCGCACTGGACCGCGGACGGCCCGCTGCCAATGACGACGAGGTCGTACTCCTTGAGCTGCAGCGACGTCGTCGTCGCATGGCGCGTGGCCAGCGACCGGAGGTTTGGACGGCGGGTGAGCTTCGTGAGCATGCTTGCGTCGGGCGACAATTGAACGCTTCTGGCAACCTGGGGAGTCAACTAATCGCCGGATAAATCCGTATCCGGACGTCAAGAATCCAGGTGAAACAGCAACCATTGAAGGCAACTTCCAAAGGATGGCAGGCGATGCAGTCAACATCCTGCACACACGCAGTCTACTACGCAGTCTATATACCGTTTTGGCTAATTACGTGTCGGACGCAAATAATTCCAGTGGCGGTACCGTTTTTTTTGCATTTTCGATGATTGCACCTCGACCTCTGCAGTGCCAGGCAGTATGTACATCAAGCATGCGCTGCCAGAGGAGCAATAAGAGTAGCAGTAGCTTATGTAATAGCTCGTTCGATAAGCCTACCAGTGCTAGCCTGCCAGTGCAGCGAGCGCACCACCAACTCCAACCGAGGTCGACGCAGCGGTTCGGCCATCTTGCATAATCGCTGGAATATAGCCAATCAGCAACATTCTTCATTAGCCAATGAAACGCGATATAAAACCAGGCTTTTGGCCAATGAACACGAGTTGCAGATGCTTGCGATCTTCTTCACACTGTCTTTTCTTCGGTGGACCAGCATGGTCCTTTACTACAGCGAAGGCTCGCCGACGACCGAGATCTCGGACGATGGGCTCAAGCAAGCGCTCTACACCGCGCTGGACAAGCTCCACGGCAAGGCAAAGCGCAAGGTCATGCTCGTGCCCCCCGACTTTACCCGCTTCCACTCGTACGCTATGAACCACGGAACCCTCGTGAGCTCATGGCTGCGTAGCAAGTCGGGCATCGTGACGCAGCACGCCTACGCCTACTTTGGCGAGCACGTGACCGACATCATGCCCGCCCTCGGGACGCACGCGCCCATGACGCCCGAGGAGATCACCAAGGTAGCACAACATCAGGCGAAAGTCCAGCATCATCGGTCGCCTAGATGTTTGGCAACGTGCCGCATGACCTCTTTCGCGTGCACGATTGGCGGTGAGCGCGAAACTTCAAGGTGTTGGTACCATGTTTCAGCTAGGAACGACGTGGTCACGATCGGCGAGGTGCCGAAGGAGCTTGTGCAAGAGGCCAGCGACGGCCAAGTGAACGAGCCATGGCCGGCGCAGCTCAACAAGCTCGTACGCAGTCCCATGCTTCTTAAGCTTAAGCTTGCGCAGATTTGGGAGGGACAGCACGACCTCGTGCTCTCGATCGGACAAGTGGTGCCGCACGAGGTCATGGGCATGGCCAACTACAACAAGAACCTCTTCGTGGGCACAGGTGCGAATCGCTCTCTTCATCGCATTGGCATCAGCCGTACGCAGGGGGCAGCGACGCGATCAATTTCTCGCACTTCATCGGCGCCGTCTACGGCATGGAGCGAATGATGGGTGCGACTCCTTTGGCGCTTCGCTGTCGCATGCACGAGCGTAGGCCGCGCCAACAACCCGCTTCGACGCATCCTCAACTACGCGTCTGAGCACTTTCTGCGCGACCTGCCGCTGCTCTACGTGCAGACGGTCATCGGGCGGCGGTGCGTCAGAACGACGTGATTCGCTCCTAACGAATGTGCTAGCGATGACGGATCGGTCGTCACGCGCGGCGTCTTCATCGGCGACGACGACGAGTGCTTTACGCGCGCGGCGGCGCTCTCGCTCCAAGTCAACTTTACGCTGTTGCCGTCGCCCTTGGACGACGTACGAATGCGAGCCTGATGGTATAGCTCAACAACTCTAGGTGGTTGTGTACCTGGACCCGGACGAGTTCAAGACGACGTGGCTTGGCAACAAGAGCATCTACCGCACGCGCATGGCGATTGCGGACCACGGGACGCTGGTCGTGCTCGCGCCCGGCGTCACGCACTTTGGCGAAGACAAGCAGATCGACGTGCTCATCCGAAAGTACGGCTACCGCACGACGCCGGTACACGCTTAATATACTGGACAACCGATGTCCAATATCTCTCGTTGATATTGTAGGAGGTCCTTGCGCACATCCACGCCAACCGCGACCTCATGAAGAACCTCAGCGCTGCCGCGCACCTCATCCACGGCTCGTCCGAGAACCGGTTCCGCATCGTGTACGCCTGCGCGCCGAACGGCCTCACGCAGGACGAGGTCGAGGGCGTTGGCTTTGAGTACGCGCCGCTCCAAGCCATGCTTGAGAAGTACAACATCGTCAACCCCTCGGCGCAGCGCGACGGGTGGCACGAGGCCAATGGCCGCCGCTTCTACTACATCTCCAACCCCGCGATGGGGCTCTGGGCGTACGAAGGGCGGTTTGAGGCGTCGTCGACCGCCGCCAAAGCCCCGCAAGCGGCAGTGCCCAGCACGCTCCTCACGGCCGCGCAGTCGAACCAAGTGTGCTTGGATGCTGGCGTCGGCGGCGGCCCTTTTACCAAACGCGACCATATGTAGCCCATGACGTGGCACCCTCCGTGGCGATAACACTCATCTAACAGTTATAACATGGTCATTTGGCGATTGCGCAACCGAAACCATGATCGGCCGTCGCTGGTGCCACGCCGTCGGGCAAGAGGTGATTGCGTCGGTGGTGGCGCTGCAGGCGCTTCCGCCGACGCACGCGCTCAAGTTCAAGTGGGGCGGGCAGGTCGACGCCTTTGTGCTCTTGGACGAAGCCCGCCCGGTGGCTTTCGTCAACCAGTGCAGCCACGTAGCGCTCGAGATGGACTGGAACGACGCCGAGTTCCTCGCGCATGGCGTCATCCAGTGCAAGGTTCATGGCGCGCTCTTCGACCCGAGTACGTCAACTATTCTGCTTCTTATCTGTATGTCGTCCTACATCCTAGCCACCGGCGCATGCTTGCGGCCGCCGCCCCGCTGCAAGATGCTTCGGGTACGACACCAGTCAGGGTTTCGCCCAGAATAAGATCTTGGTCTCGTAGCATTTGTTTCAGATTCCCATCGAGGTCGACGCCGACGGCAATGTGGTCACAACATCTTCGCCCACGACACTGCGACCGCGCGCCGAAGCGATACCGCTGGACGACGCGTACCGGAGGCAGAAGCTCGCGCGCCTGCAGTCTGCGCTGGAGCACGAGGCCTCCGAGGCGCAGATCGAAATCGACCGAGTGAACGAGCGGGCGCGGCGCATGGTTCAGCAAGCGCGGGAGGCCAAGTTGCATAAGCCCAAGTAAGGATGCTAGTCTTTCTGTCTTACGGGCTCTGGCTGTCGCGGAGACTCGGGCACAAGTGACGCTTCGTGATGGGCGAAGCTCGCGCAAAGCTCCTCGAGCGTGAAGCGGGCACTAGCGGCATGAAGTCCTTGGGCCACACTCCACGGGCTGGCATGAGGGACGTGAACTGTCGTCGTTGTAGGAGGCAGCAGCGCATCGAACCACTCGTCCGGTCCTTCGTAGATGACTGCAGCACAGTAGCCTGGGATCTATTATAGCGTAGAGTACACATCTGGGCCGTCAATGCGCACCCCAAAGGACGCGAGCCCGACGTAGGTCGTGTGGCGCGACCCTGCGCAACAGCAATAGTACTTCATGATAGCGCCATGCGAGCCGTACCGATCGGTCGGGCAGTCCAAAACCCGGTGGCGGCGACGACAGCATCCCGGGCGACGCAGAGGATTCCGTGGAGGAGCGCCGAAGCGAGTGGGGTGGGCGGCAGGACTTCGCTCAAATTGCTATTGAGGAAGAAGGCGCGAGGGTGTCGCTGCAAGGACCGCTTCAAATCGATAGCAGTGCCCAGGAAAGGACCGAGAACAGTTGCTTCGAAAGCGCCGAACGCGGTATGATTCGCAGGTGCTTGCCCCTCGAGCGCCGACGAGAGGGTGTAGGTCGTCGCCTGTGCCTCCGTTTCCTTTTTGAGACTTGCGACGAGACCATCGAGCGCAGCGTGGCCAAAGTACCGAGTGCAGGCGTCCAGCACGCACGCGCCCACCTGCCATCCAAGGTCAGTGGCTGCCTCAAACGCGTCGTGTACCAGACGCCCAAATCCTGCGTCGGACTCTGCCACGCACACAACAACAGCGAGGATCGGAGCCACAGTGGAGCTCGCGACGACGACCGCTTGCTCTTGCAGCATGAGCATGGCCATGGGCTGCCTACCTACAGCGCTGAGCAGCCTGCAGCGCTACGTAGGTATACCCGTGGTTGAACTGCTGAAGCGTGGCAACGAGCGAGGCCAATGGCGCCGAGCGAAGGCCCGACGGACGAAGCGCGTGCTCGGCGAGGACGTGGCCTGCGTCCGAGATGACCAAGCATCCGACGAGTCCGTCGTCGTCCAGCTCCATGAAACGCCTCTTGTTGCCACAATTAGCAACCAAAAATAAAGTATTTAGTCGGCGTAAACATGGCGGAGTTGGGATTGGTCGAAGATGCAACGTCGGTACCGGGCGCTGGAGAAGCTGCAGTCGCTCGTTGCCGCAGGCTCCTTGAGCGCGAGCGACGCCAGCCACCGCGCCGTTCAGATCGTAGAGTCAACTCCGCAGCCCGTGCGTCTCCAGGAGCCCCGTCTAGCGGAGCTCTCGAAGGAGTTGTTGGCGCAGGCGGCCAATGACACGGCCAAGGCTGCGCAGGTGGCCATTCTCCAAGGTCGTCTTGACCGCCTCCGCGACGAAGACGTGCGCGTGCAGAGCCAGCTACAGGAGCTCGACACAGAGGACCCGACGCCCAAGGCAGCGGCGCTGCGCGACGTCGTCGAGTTCTCGCACGTCTATGCCCTCTTCGAGGAGTACAAGTACCTCGATGCGTTCGCGCAGCTCGCGCACATTTCACCGTCGACGTGGCAGCGCACGCCGCACACGACGCAGCAGCAGCTTCTCAAGAGCGCGACGACCGTCATGGGCCACGGCGCCGTGCCGGCGCAAGACAAGATGGCGTCGGCGTCGAGCAGCGTCATGCACGCCAACTTCTTGGCGTACATTCGGACGCTTCACTACGCCAAGGTGCTCCCGCCCAACTGGATCGTGCTGCCGTCCTCGGTCTCGGCCATGAAGCTCGCGTCGCTCCTCGCAAAGGACGCGACGTGCCTCCTCCACCTCCTCAAGGCGCAGAACAACGCGTACGCCGAGAGCCTCACCATCAGCTATGCGCTCGCGCAGCGCGACCTCACTGAACCGCAGGTGATTGCGCCATCGCCGGCGCTCTTGGTTGCGGCGATCGAGACGCTCGACTACCTCAACCTGCACGGTTCGATCCCGCTTGTGCACCAGGCGTACCGCGGGCCGCCCTCGAGCGAGATTCTGGACTGTCTTCTTCGGGTGCTAGTCCAACCGCGCCTCTCGCGCAAGATGGCGCGGACCCTCAGCGTCTCGATCACGCTCGACCTCGTGCCGATCGTCGAGAACGGGTGCTCGGCGGCACTCCTCCAAGCTCTCGTGACGAGCGGCCTCGTGCACGACGCGTACGGCTGCTACCTCAAGCTGCACAAGCTCAGCCCTGGCGCGCGCGTGCCCACGTCCGTCCTCACCGACATGCTCGTGGCGGTCTACAAGGCCAAGCAGTACGACCAGTTCCACCTCGCGTTTGACGAGATGTGGCGCCGCGGCTACGTCGTCGGCCTCCACGAGTTTCGCGCGCTCAGCGCCGTCGTGCCGCCCCACGTGCTCTTGAGCCTCATGGGCAGCCGCGACTACACCAACTGCCTCGCCGAAGTGCACACGCAGGCCAGCGCCAAGGACCGGATGCTGCTGGACCTGCGCCATCTCCCAGCGTCCATTGCGCCATCCCTCCTTTGGCTCCACGTCGAGCACCTCCACGGTACTCTCGACTTCAGCTGTTGACCCTCACGCAAATAGGCCTGGACGAGGGGGCAACGGAGAATGTGCGCGTGCTAGTGCAGAAGCCGCAGGCCGTCGCGGCGCTGGAAGCCAGCCTCCAGCAGCACAACGTGCCGTGGACGACGCCGCGCCGCGGAGAACTTGTGATTGCTGCTGCTGCCGTCATCGACGTACGTCATCCAAGCTGGCATGCTCTCATCGCGACTCCTCTAGTACGTCGAGCGTCAGGACACGCAGCGCGTCAAGGACTCCGTGTGGCGCATGATGGTGCTGCGGGCGCTCGGCGTCTCGTCGCTCGTGCTGGGCGGCGTCACGTACATGTCGAGTTCGTTTTCTTAAGCGTCTACAACTCGACCGTCTCAATATGCTTGAGCGTGTTGCGGTAGTGTGCTTCGATCTCGGCCTTCTCGGTGCCCGACTCCATGTGTTCGAGGTGCTCCTTGACGAGCGCTATGAGCCCCACGAGGTACTGCTTGGATATCTACCGACACCAAGTAGAAATTTGCGTATCGCCATCTCGTGGCGAGCGTACCTCGGGCGCGCGCGCCAGGAAAAAGTACAGGTACTAGGAAAAAGTGAATCTTCGCGCAATGCGACTATGGACCTACCTCGTCCAAGATGTCGACAAAGAGCGCGACCTGCGCCGCCGACGACGTGCAGCCGTCCGCGATCTTGAGCGCACGCTGGAGACATTCGAGGACGCGCACGCCGTGCCCGCCCTACACAAGAAGCAGTTCGTCGTCGAACAGTTTGAGAAATGTACCGGGCGCCAAAAGAGGTGCGCGCAGGATGCGACCATGCGGCACTGGTCCTTCTTCTTGAGCACTTTGGCCGCGTACTGCGTGAGCTTGGTCGCGAGCGTGTCGAGGTTCGCGGGCGTCAGGTGCGTGCAGTGGCGGAGCGCGCCGAGCATCGCCTCTAGCGCGAGGAGCTGATGCGCGCACTGGCTGAGCTGGTCCTCGTACACGATAAAGGCCTGCGTGAGAAACTCGTACGCGATTGCTTCGAGAGCGCAGGCGTCGGCCGTCAGCGCGCACTGCAGAAAGATAGAGACAAACACGGGCGTCTCGACGAGCTCGACTTTGGACGCGAGCGCCGTCGCCATCTCGTGCACAAACTGCAGCACCTCGCGCGGCGACACAGCGCTGTCCCTGACCGCATGCACGCGCTGCGTGAGCTGGAGCGAGAGAAACACCAGTGGTACGAGCGTGACCCGGATGCGCTGGAGTCCCCCTTGGCCAAGGAGCCGCCGCGCCTGGCTGTATATCTGCTCCCGTTGGTCAACTTGACTCAAATGGGGCGCTGGCAGTGTACCTGGAACTGAACGTCGGCGCTTGGGTGGCGCAGCAGGTGCGCAATCTTGGCCACGAGGTGCTGCTCCTTCTCAAACGCCGCCTATTACGGACGGCGTGTCACTTTGATAAGGAGGCATCAGAGCCACGCACGCGCGAGGCGACTGAGCTGGGCGGTCCGTCGTCGCCGTCGTCGCGGATGAGCGGGAGGAGCAGCGTGTACGCCTTCTCGACAGACGCCGCGCTCTCGAGCATCTCGCGCCGCCGGAGGAGCACGTTGCCCCAGTGCATGGCGAGGCGCTTGCGATCGGCTGTTGGCAGCCACTGCAGGACGACGCTGGCGCAGCGCGTCATCTCTGCGTCGTCCACGAGCTGGTGGCCGAGCGCGTCCATGGGCACGCGCACGAGGCGCTCGCCCGCGGCAATCACCGCATCCGACCGCCTGCGCACATGTCAAGCCCAAAAAGATGCGTGTTTTCGTACATTTTGACGCGCACGAGCAAGTCGGTGGCCGCGGCAAAGAGTTTCGCCACGTACGTTGTTGCGGGCGGCTGGAAACACGCAAACACAAACTCCATGATGCCGGCGTAGAGCCCGAGGAGCGACGCGCTGGGAAGCGAAGCCTCGAATTGTTTGACCGCCGACGCCGCGCACGCTGCGAGGGCCTCAAAGAGCGCGTCCTGCTCCGGAAACCCTAGTCTCTTTTCAATGTATCGAGATATCACTTCGTATCAAATCGGTACCGTGGGAGGCGTTGGCTTCGTGGTACTTGGTGAGCCGCTGGAGCAGCGCGAGGACGAGTTCCGTAATGTCCACGAGGCTGTTGAGGTCCTTGAGCGCGCCGAGGAAGGCAGGAATGGTCTCGAGATGGAATTCATCCGGAAACACCTGCGGAACTATGAGACATTTCGTGCAAGTAGGAAGAGGCTTCTACGTGGATGATGCAGTCCATGAGGTAGACTTGCGCAATCTTGTCCTTGCAGTTGATGACAATCTCGAGCACGCGCGGCAGCACGTCGGCCGCGTAGACGGCGCTCGAGACGTCGTCGAGCTGGCTCACGCGCACGAGGCTCGTGCCCACGAGCAGCTTGAGTTCCTGCCGCTCCTTCTCGCGCTGTTTCTTGTCCTTGATGTTGGACTGGAACTGCATGCGAATCCACAGCCGGTTGGTCTCGTCCCAGTTCTGGAGCAGGAACGCGAGCGCGTCCGCCACGTCGACGGCGCCGAGCAGCTCCTTGACGGAGACGACGAGGTAGTGGCGCAGAAAGAGTCCTCGCAGCGGATGCTGCACGCCTTTGACCATCTCGACCAGATCCTTGAGCAGCTCGCGCACGAGGTTGATGTCGCTGCGCATGTAGACAACACCGACAGCCACGAGGAGGTAGAGTCGTGGCACGACGTTGCCGCTGCTCTGTACCTGCTCGTACAGCTTGCGCAGGTTGATGGATGCGCGGTGTGCTTCGATGTAGGCTACGAGCGCGTGCAGCTCGTCGGCCACGAGCATGTAGAGCTCGTAGTAGTTCTTGGGCGACAGCAGCGACGTGCGCAGCTCGCGGAGGAAGTCGGCCGCGTGCTTGAGCACGAGCGCGATGTCCGCCTCGTTGGCGCCGGCGTCCATGGCCCGCTTCATGTAGAAGGCGCTCTGGCGCACGCTCGTCGTCGCCTCGCTCAGCAGCGCCTCCTGCTCCTCGTCCCGCTGCATTCTTATGTTTTGCGGATCGCCGGCAACGGACTATCCGGATATCGAGATCTTGCGCGTATCCGAACAAAATACGTGGCAGCGTAGCGTGAGAAGAGGTGGAATAAAAAGACTTAGTGCATCAGCGTCGCGAGCTGCGCCTCGAGCTGCGCCTTCTCAAGGAGGTAGGCCTTCTCGAGAGCGACGCGGTCCTTCTCGTACTTGTCTTCGAGCTGCAGGAGCGCCTGCGTCACCGACTTGGCCTACGACACCGTGAGCTCAATGGACGAGAGGTGATGCGAACCGAGGCGCTGAGGACGGTCGTCGACGTCGGGCGAATCGTGCTGTTCTTGGCATCGAGGAGGTTGGCGTCGCTGCCGCTGCCGAGACGAAAGTACTTCATGAAGGAAGGCTCCGCCGGCGTGCGTTCGATCTGCGTCGGCGGCTTCTGCGGCGAGTCCTTGGCGACCATTGTGCCAAATGCATCCGATGCTCCTAAACGACAATCTAGTACGGTCGGGGTGCAGAACAGCATATACCCCGGTGCACAACAGTGCCGTAGAGCTCTGTGGTGTCGCGCGCGCCGGAAGGAGCGCTTCCTGTGCCCCGGTAAACCATGGTTCCGCAGTCGCTGCTGGCGTCGGTCGACATACGGCGCGTCGACGCGACCATCGTGGACGCGTCACCAGACTCGGTCATTGTGATGTGGACGCGGTCGGTCGAGATCGCTTCGAGGTTGCGGTCCACGAGCTCCTGCAGCACGGGCAAGCCGGCCGCGTGCGTCGCTTCGAGGCGCTCGACGTCCCTCTTGATGAACGGGTGCTACGAAGCCCATGCGGATGTGTTGAGAAGAGAGCGGATACCGAGAGGAGATCGGCGGCCGACGGACGGTCCGCCGCGTTCTTCTTCAAGCAGAGCGCGAGAAAGTCCGAGAAGGCAGGCGAGTACTGCGCTGGCTCCTTGAGCGTCGGGGACGGTCGGCTCGGGATCAAAAAGATGGCCTAGTGCAAATGCCTCACGAGGGTCCAAAGGTAACTTGTCGTACGCGCATCGGGTGCATCGACGCGAGCGGCGGGTCGCCCTCCGCCATTTCAATGGCCGTGATGCCCAAGGACCAAATGTCCGCCTGAGAGACATCGTTGTGGTTGATATGGTCAGTAGGAGCGATGGGATTACCTTGCAGTCGTACTGCGTCTCCTGGATGACCTCAGGTGCCATCCAGAACGGCGTGCCGATCACGGTCTTGCGCTTGTTGATCGTGTTGGTGAGCTGCGCCGAGACGCCAAAGTCGGCTACGAAATGCTCGACACAATGTTATGCAGAGATGTTGTACCGAGCTTGGCGAGGCCGCTCGATGAGAGAAGCACGTTGCCGGCCTTGATGTCCTGCACCACTCCATCAATGCTGGCTGATGCGCGCAGTGCAGACGCACCCGGTGGATGTTGCGCTGTTCATGGAGGTACGCAAGACCTTTCACGACGTTGGCGCAGACGGCGGCGACTTCTTTTTCGCTCAAGACGCCGGCTGGAGAGACACGCAGCATGTCGGCGACCGAGCCCGCCTCGCAAAACTCCATCTCGATCTACGCGCGTGAGGCGCAGCCCAAGGACGCGAAGAAGATCGTACCCACATGCTGCCCTCGTAGAGCAGGCTGCCATGGTACTGCACGATGTAGGGCGACTGGCACTTTTGGAGGATCTTGATCTCCTTGAGGAGGTCGGCCATGTCTTTGTCGTCGCTCTCGACGGGCACGACCTTGAGCGCGACGACACGCGCCGAGCGCCGGTGCATGGCCTTGAAGACCTTCCCGTACGAGCCCTCGCCGAGCGCCTCGAGCACCTCGTACTCGTCGTTCGGGACCTTGTCCTGCGCGACCGACATCTTTATTTAAGCTCCGTTTCACGCCCGGTTTCGGCGGTCGAATCCATGTTAAAGAGCGTGTCCTTTCGGTTCCGAGGGACTTTTCCCTTTATCCGGACAACCGACCGTTGCGGCGCCATGGAACCCTCAATGATGCCCATCGACGCGCATGGACCGTGTCCCTAGCTTTGGGAGCATGCTTGGCGTCTACCAGCACTGTCCAAGCCCATGGCTGGAAGAAGGCGGCGATGACATCATGGGACGACGCCTTCGTCATCACCTCGGATGACGTCGGACGAAGGGGCTGGGAATTAAAATAAAGGCCCCCTGCATACTGGACGGAGGTAAAAACGCTGCTGGATTTTTCGGCGTGGGCAGCCTTTGCGCCGTTTATCCGGACGACCAATGATTGGTGCATTTCGTGTGACCCACAAATCCAGTGACTCCCACACAGTCAATTGCTATGCTGCGCCTCGCCGCCTTGACGCCGCCTCTCGCCAAGCGTGCCACGTGGGGCATGCGCCGCCTCTCGTCGCTGCCCGACGGCGTGACCAAGCTCCTCATGCCCGCTCTCTCGCCCACGATGGAGTCCGGTACGATCGCCGCGTGGCTCAAGAAGGAAGGCGAGATGGCGAACGCCGGCGACGTTCTTTGCCAGGTCGAGACGGACAAGGCGACCGTCGACTACGAGATGCAGGACGAGGCCGTCCTCGCCAAGATCCTCGTTGCCCAAGGCACGTCCGTCGACGTCGGCACACTCTTGGCCTACACGGTCGACGACGAAGAAACGTACGCCGCCCTTCTCAAGAGCGGTGACATTGCCAAGCTCACTGGCGACGCAGCCGCTGCTCCTGCCCCCGCTGCTGCCACGCCTGTCGCTGCCGCGCCCGCTGCTATCGCTCCCTCCACGAGCGCGCACCGCGTGCCCCGCATTCACTTTTTGGGCAAGCGCTCTCTCCTCCCCGCGGCTCACTCTGAGACCAAGCCTGCGCCGATCGCCGCGCCTGTGGCCGCGCCCGTCGCTGCGCCCGTCGCTAAGGCGGCGCCTGCGGCGGATGGCCCGTTCACGGATCTCCCGCTCTCGAACATGCGCAAGATCATCGCCAAGCGCTTGACGGCGTCTAAGGTCACCGTGCCCCACAACTACGCGTCGATTGACTGCGAGATCGACGCCATTATGAAGCTCCGCAAGCGCCTCAAGAACGACCACGGCGTCGCGGTCTCGCTCAACGACTTCCTCCTCAAGTCCGTCGCCTGCGCGCTTCGCGACGTGCCGGAGGCCAACTGCGGCATGGACCCGGTCCTGAAGCAGATCGTCCCGAACTCGTCCGTCGACATCTCGGTGGCCGTGGCGACGGACACTGGCCTCATCACGCCCATTGTGCCCAAGGTCCAGAACCTCGGCCTCGTTGGCATCAACGGCACCTTCAAGGAGCTCGTGGGCCGCGCCCGCGCCAACAAGCTCAAGCCCGAAGAGTTCCAGGGCGGCAGCTTCACGATCTCGAACCTTGGAGGCTTTGGCATCGACTCGTTCACGGCCGTGATCAACCCGCCGCAGGCGTGCATCATGGCGGTCGGCCGTGGCCGCGTCGAGCTCGTGGCGCCGGCGGCTGTCGACGGCGAGCCGCGCAAGGCGACGCTCATGAACGTGACGCTTTCGTCCGACCGACGAGTCGTCGACGACGTCATTGCCGGTCAGTTCCTGCAGGCGTTCAAGAAGTACATGGAGCAGCCCGACTTGTTGCTGTTGTAAGAAGAAGCACGTAACATCGGAATAGATACTCCTCTCCAACTGTTATAACACTCGAAACCACCGACGGATGACCGACTGCTTGCGCTGGCGATACCTCTCGGAGGACCACGTGCTGGACCTCGGGCTCATCCACGACCCGGCGCAGCTTCGCGACTACCTCGCCAACGTCTTCGCCTTCCCGCCGAGCCCGCTCTTCACGCACAAGGCGCCAGCGCCAATGCACCTCGTCGTGGACATGTACATGTATCTGTACGCGTTCACCAAGCAGCACGAGTTTAGTGCGGAGCGTACGTCGACGGTGCTGGCGATCGTGCACAGCCTCGTGCTCACGGACCTCTTCCTCCACGGCGAGAAGGACCTGCGCACGCTTCCGACTCTGCCCGCGAGCTTTAGCCGCTTCCAGGCCATGCTCTTGCGCCACAGCGTCGAGCGGCCGCCGATGAGTACAGGCATCTTTGACGCCGCTGACGTCAGCCGCATCGTCGACTACGTGACGCACACGTACTACCGTCACTTTCATCTGTACCAAAGCATCTTCCTGCCGCAAACCCACTTGTCCATCGTGCAGGTAGATGCGAATGGCTCTTGCTTGCGTGCTGAAGGAATCGGTAGGTGGCTTGCATGGACGTCGCCAGCGTCAAGCCCGTGGCGCCTCTCATGGTCGGCCTCAAGCAGCACCCTCCATTGCCCGCCCCCGTCGCCCACGAAACCATAGTCGACGCGGCAAATGAATAGATGGGAGTTAGATAAACATCGGCGCGAACTTGCCATGCATGAGCGCGACGAGCTTGTCGTAGTTGCCGAGATCTACGAGGACGCTAAAAGCCTGCCATAACCTATGGCCGCATGTACCAAAGTTGTCGCCAAAGCTCGTGCACTTGAATTCTTGGAGCGATCCGTCGGGCTGGACGAGGCCGATGACTTCGACGAACTTGCTACATTCCTTACGCATGAGCAAGTGGCTACCTCAAGCGGTCGCCGTACCTCGAATAGTCGGCGCCGGGCGCCGGGATCACGGTGACGAGGCCGCCGTCCGAGGCCTTGACGATCGCGCTGTTGCCCGTCCAGCTCTCCATGCTGCCGACGAGGGCGACCGTGCGGTTCACGTACGAGGCCATGAGCGCCTTGTTGACGCGGGGTGCGGGCGCGGGCTCGGCCATTCTTCGCTTTCTTATTTGCAGTGGGCACCGGCTGGCCGCTGGTTTCCGGATCCGGATACCAGATTTGGCGCGAAAACGGACGCGCGTGCCCTCCGCGCCACTCGAGTGAAGGAATCGATTGTATAGAACGAGTTAATGGACGAGAAGCTACGAGCGGAGGCTCTAGGCGTCGATGGTCATGACGTTCTACAGACAGAATAGTGTCATGTGAAGAGCAGTCGCTTCGTACCGCGCCGCCCACGTCGAACTGAGCAATGTCAGCCGCTGTGCTGTAGAGATCTTGCTTGGCGCTGCCTTGCTCGTTCGTTGTGAGCTTGACTTTGCACTGGAGGAGCTTGAGGAGCTGGTCAAACATGTTGCGCTGGATGACGTAGTCGCCGAGGTTGGTCTTGAGTGTCTTTTGCTGCTTCCGGAGCTCCTTCGTGAGCGACTCTTGCTGAATGACCTTGTTCTTGTAGAGTTCTTGGAACGTGCGAAAGTCGCGGTGGAGTTTTCCGTTGCCTTTGTCAAACTCTTCTTCTTGCGTGACCTTGTCGAGGCGCGCCGACTCGATCTGCAGGAGCGCGTGGAGCTGGTGGTACTGGCTCTCCTCGCGGAGGCAGTCGTCCTGGAACGCCGTACACTCTTGCTCGAGCTTGATGCGCTCGGTCTCGAGGCCCACGGCCGTGTTGTCGTACTGCGCTTTCTTCTCCAGATACGTCTGCTCCATCTCTTGGTAGCGCTGGCGCACGGCGCGGAGGTCCTTGATCTGCGGTGCAAGCTGGTTCTTGCGCTCCTTTAGCGTCTGGTTGATGTCGGTCACGATGCGGCTGATTTCCTCGAGGGTCTCGCCCTTGAACGCGTTCACTTGGGCGTTGCGCTCCGAGATCTCGTTGAGTTTGCCCTCCGTGTCCATGTAGCCGACGACGCCTTTCGAAGCCTCAATGTCCTTGAGGAGGCCGTCGAGATCCGAGTCGCGGCTCCGCAGCACCTGCTCCGTGCGGTGGAGGACAACCGACTCGGCCGTGATCTCTGCGAGCTCGGCCTTCATCTTCTTGTACTGGTTGGTCTTGATGCGCAGCGTGTTGGTAAACTGCTTGAACTCGTTGTGCTTCATGAACTTGGGTCCCGAGACCTCGGCCATCTTGGCCTCCTACGCGGGATGAGACACGGCATTCTCTGAAGGACGAACTTGATCTTCGAGCTGGCGCTGCAGCGACTGCTTCTCTTGCTTGACCTTGGTGAGTTCGTCGATCTTGTCGTTGAGCTTCTTGGTTTGGATGTTGGCATGCTGACGGAAGATCGCCAGCTTGTCGTCGCCCGCGGCTTTCTGGGTCTCGTTCAACTGATCGGAAAAGTGCTACAAGAAAACGTCAATGGATGTGGAGCTATGCAAAAACGTACTTGGATCGAATTTTTGAGATTTTGGATCTCGTCCTCCATGTCGGCAATGTCCGCCTCGGTCTTGGCGGGTTCGCTCAGCGCAGCGTCGAGGTGCTGAAGTTTCTCTTGTTGAAGTCGGAACTCGGCCGGGAACTTGTTGATGAGAATGTCCCGGTGGCGGTCCACTTGGTTCTGCAGCTGGTCAAAGAGCTGGTCCGGCTGCATGTTGGTCGTGATGCTTTGGCGCATCTCGCCAAGGCGCTGGTCGTAGTCCCGACTGCGCTTCTGCGCCATGTTGAGGCCCATCATTTGGTCGCGCTTCCGCTCCGCGAGCTTGGCTTGCTCCTCTTGCTCTTTCCGAAGCGCACTTGTCGCTTCCAAGATATCCTTAAAGCCACTCTAAGAACACAAACGTCAGATTCATGGGCCAGATAAGCTTCGAACCTCGTTGGCCGTCTTCTTCTTGAGGTGCGCAATCTTCTCGCTGAGCTGGTGCGACTCCTCCTCCAGCTGCGTGATCTCCTTTCGCAGCTCGCCAGGACGAATCTTGCTCGTGCGAAGCTGCTCGACTTGCTTGTGTGCAGCTTTGAACTCGTTCTGAAGCTGCTTGTAGTGCTCGTGCATGCTGTTGAGGCCGTCGTTGCCGAGGAACTCTTGCGGCACTTGCAATGGCGCGAGAAATCGACCGAGGTACGCGCGCTTCTTGTGCACGGGAAAGCTCTTGAGCGCCCAGTACAAGATCGGATACACCACGTAGCGCTCGCCGTGGCTCAAGCCGTCGCGAAAGCCGTCGAGGTCCGGCGGCAGCTGGTACTTGAGCAGCTGCAGAAGTTCCATGTACCGGTACGTGCGCTGCTCGTCGAGCTCGTCTCGGAGGTCGACGTTGTGCCGCGAATCCATTGCTGCAAACACCTCATTGAGGATCTGGAGCAGCTCAAAGTTGGACTTTTCATCAAAGGCGACCTACGCAGCTTTACCATGAGACGACGAGTGTATCTGGAAGGATGCATACGAGCGTGAAGTTGTGGTTGAACGGCTCCTTGTTGAGCTTCTCGACGATGAGCTGGAGCTCCGACATCGTGTTCGCAGATCTCGCTCTGTGTGGCCTTTCGTCAAGATCTTCACGGCGCGATATGACTGGCTGAAACTTTCGGGGCGCAAAGATTGGTGGATAACTTTTGTCGAAACTACAATTTTGGCCAATCAATCGACCGATCCTGGAGATCTTCCTGGGCACTTGTCGAGCGCCACGGTGGTGGGCAACTTCTAGTACTGAAAAAGCTAGGATGCAAGTATGGTATAAAAGAGCGATGGAGTTGAGTGGCTCATCATTATTGGACGCTCGTAGATATCGTATAAAGCCAACACATCAAAACATGACTATTTGTGTCTAAATGTGGTACATGCCATATATAATCATTCGGCCTATTTCTCTTGCAGCATAGCTCGAACGCCGACGCGGAGGTGCATTTCGTACCCTCCAAGACGTCCTCTACCTGTGGTCCAAGTTTGAGCGAATCCATTTATCATCGAGATTTCGCGCCCGCGATGGCCTCCGGCTCGGTTGTGCATGGCGCAGCAGTTCCATGTGCCCTGTGATTGGTTGAAAAGGTTTAAAATGAGCCAATCAAGTGGTAGAGACTGGGTTAACCAAACAAAGGTCCCAGCCTCACCAGTCTGGGAGCTCAGCCTGTGACCATGCTGGCATCACGGCATGCGCACGCGTCAAGTCGCAATCGTTGGTCATTTTTTCATTCGTATAAATATTAAGAGGGTACAATTCACACTAACTAAACAGGTCACGCACTTCCGCCGAGACAGCAGTGCATCCTTCGACATCCACCTTGACGAGGTGGGGGTGCGTAACCTTGAGGCGGAGCAGAGCATCGTCCGTGACGTTGTTGCACGCATAGAGCACGAGCTCTTCCAGGAATGGAAGGCAAGCAAGGCCATCGAGGTTTGCAGTCACCAGTGCGCAGCCTGTGACGTCCAGCGTCTTGATTCGCGGCGGGAGCGCGCTGAAAATGTGGCTCGAGAGGTTCGACTGGCCCTTGAGGTACAGCGCTTGCATATTAGGGCACAGCTGCAAGAGAGGCACGAGGCCGTCGTCGGCGAGCGGTGACCGCGAGCCAAACGGGTTGCTGCACGAGAGATCCAAGCACTCGAGCGCGATCGCTTGGTTCTGCGTCGAAAACGCCTGGATGAACTCGGCGTTGACATCTTTTGTGTAGCGCCCGCTACCGCCGAGCGTCAGCACCTTGAGCTGCGGGCACGTCGCAATGGCAGTCATAACGACGGTCGACTGACTCACTTTGGGATTCCCCTTGAGCTCGAGCGACACTAGGTGCGGCGCCAGGACGACAACGTCAAGAACGTCGCCCGTGACCAGTTGCCGGCACCGGTTGAACGACAGCGCGCGCAGCGACGGCGCGAACGGCAGCATCGGTGCCAGCGTCGAGATCCACGAGCAGTTGTCGGCGGCGACTTCGCGTAGCGTCGCAGCGCTGCGCGCGCAAAAGATGCGAAAGACGTCGTCCGTAACATACTTGCTGCCCGAGACGTCAAGCACAATGAGGTCGCGTGTGTGCTGCGCGAACGCGAGCCACGCGTCGGTCGAGGCGGTCGACTTGCGGAAGCGCACGCAGCGCATGACCGACGCGAACGGGACAAGCCGCTGCAGGAGCTCTGACGTGGCGCCCTGTAGCTCCAGGTCCCGCCAGTACGTCGTGTGATCGTGGATCGAGCGGAACATGGCGCGGGACGTGGCAGCCGCAGCGAGGACATCTTCAACGGCTAAAAAGCCGGTGACAGCGTTTAGCAGGTCGTCGTTCACGGTGGCGAGCGGAGCTAAGGGCATGGGTGCGACCTGAATCGGACCCCGGGGCACTGGCGCGGGCGTAGCGTGCAGCGCGAGGGCCATCGTACAGAACCGAAATGATCCGCCCGATGGCCGTGGCGCGACTTCGCCGGACCCAATTGCGTATCCGGACGATGAGCTGGGATAGTCTCGTCGCGTTGTTCTTTTTAAATGTATACAAAGAAGAGGATAGTTTAATAGTTTCGATCTTTTCATATCCGGAAGTAGCATTCGGGGGCACAAGATTGTTCCGGTCCCATTGTGATTGGCCCCCAGATGTGACGATGCAGCGTCGGAACGTTTGATTGGCCAATTGCTTGCACCAATGAGGGACGCGCATTACTCCAGCGGCACGGTCCTTGTTTCAGGTATTTGCCTAGTGTCAGGCATAAACAAGGATATACACCATATACGATAAATGGCTACAGTAAATGGTGTAATAACACGATTTGCGTGCATTCGGTGGCATCCGGATTCGTCGGGTATACAAACCGCGAGTCAAATCGATGGACTGGTGCACTCCGGTGGCTTTCTTCGGTTGCGATGACGAACCTCGGCGCGAAGATGAGCTTGGAGGTCGCGCTCCAGGACGGCGACGTGGTCTGGGCGCGCATGTCGTCATACCCGTGGTGGCCGGCCATGCTCTTCACGTCCTTCGAGGCGCTCGAGGCCCACAACCTGCCAATACCCAAGCTCAAGCCGCCGACGAGCGCGACGCCGATCGTGTGCTTTCTTGACTCATTCGAGTTCTCAAGCATCAGCCGCAGCAACATCGTGGCCTTCGATACGTACAACGCCAACGACCTACTTCTCGTGGCCAAACACCACAAGCCCAAGCTGGCGCGCGCGATCGCGAATGCGCAGTTCATGCTGAGCACGGTACGGGAATTCTTCCTGCGGACGATGATATGATCCGCCAAGCGTGTAGCGAGCAGAGTGGAGCCTCGAAGAGTACGAAGCCATTCGCGAGGACAATGCCGTGGACGAGGCCGCCTACGACGCCGTGGACGAGCTTGCTCTCGAGAGTAAGCCAGCGAAGAAGCAGCGCGTGGCCAATAACGAGACTGGTATACACCCTTCCAAGACCCACGTCTGCAATCGCAACCTAGGCGACGCCGAGCGTTTGGCTGTCTCCTCCGCGCCCCAGAGCGAGACCGTTCAAGTGGCCGACGCTCCGAAGCCACCGCCGGCGCAGCGAGTGAAGCGGGAGCGCCCTGCGCCATCACGAAAACGTACGTGACGGTCGGCAATCGCGCTCGCTCATGCATGCTCTTAGCATCGGCTGCGAAGAAGAAAAAGCTGCAAAGCGACAGCTCGGAGGTCGAGGTGCCACCGCCATCTTCGGTACGCCCCGAGACGCTGCAGCGGAAGGGTGCCAAAAGAGAGGGGTCCGCCGACAAGAAGATGACGGTGCGTTCTTATTACGTGTGTGGGCTGTGGTTGGACCTCTCAAATGTAGGCTCGCGACAAGGCCACGATACCAAACCCAGCCGTCCCTCGAAGACGAGTACGCCGTTCCTCGCGTCTCGCAGTCTATATTATCGCTGTAGATGGCTGCGGATGGAGGGGCGAACGAGGAAGAGACCAAGCCGCCCCCAAAGAAAGCGGCTTCAAAACCCACCGAGGCGAAATCCCCTCCGCGGTCCCGCGAAAAGAAGGCTGTCCGTCAAGAGGTACGTCGTGTCGATATGTGCGAGGATACGAGAAATGCTGTAGATGCCAGCAGCCGCCAAAGTGCCGTCTGGCGTGGTGTACACGCCCGTCGCCTTGGGCGCGTTGCTGCAGCCGCAACCTCCTCCCGTACGCTCCACCGCACGAGCCCGAATGCTCATCGTGATGCGTGTGTAGAAGAAGACGGCGCGCAAGATTCTACCACGGGTACCTACCTTCTGTGCGCCGTTCGGCCCGTAACCTCTGCTGTAGCACGGATCGATTGTGCTGCTGAGCGAGGCCCCCGTGCGCGTACGCCGTGGCGTCTTGGGCTCGACCAACGCTCTGCGTAGGAGCCGCCGCTGACGACGAAGAGTGCGTCACCAACCTCTGCCCCAAAGACTCTAAAGACCGAGTCCCATGATGCATCCTTGCCGACCCGAGTACGGCGAAAGGTTCGCACAACGCAGCGCCGAGCTCGATAAACTGTCGAAGTAGAGCAAGCCACGCGACGACCGACCAAAGCCAGCGACCCCAAAAGCCCGCAAGCCACATGTACGAGCCTTGCAGCGCGTTTCCATGAATCAATCCATGGCTGCTGGGAGTAGGACCTCTCCATCTCGACCGTCGATGCCGACCCAGCAGCGGAGACGCGCTCCACAGACGCCACAGCGATCCGCGCCAGCGCAAGGAGAGCTTTCGTCCAGAAAAGCGCAGAGAACGAGCCTGTTGATGCTGTCGTGACGCCGGACAGCACACAAATTGCGGGTGACGTCGCTCCGCTGGCTGCTTTGGCGACAGGCGTCGCGCTGGAGAAGGGCGCCGCGATGTCTCTCAACCAGCCTGCGACCCCGTTGCAAGGGCTGGTTCCAGTTGTCGACACTGTCGAAGCGCTCGAGCCAGAGACCGCAGCCGAAGGCGTCGAACCTTCGGTGGCTCCAGTTTCGACGGGCGAGTTGAAGCCCATTGTGGCGGCGGTCCATCCAGAGACCTCTGTCATCGTGGATGCGTCCGAGACCTCGGACGCGTTGGTCGAGCCAGCAACCGAAGCCTACACTGTCGATGCTGCGACCTCAAGCGCGATGGTCGAGCCAGAGTCCTCCGTCAAGGAAGTTGAGCCAGAGTCCTCCGTCAAGGAAGTTGAGCCAGAGTCCTCGGTCAAGGAAGTTGAGCCAGACGCGACGGTCGTGCCAGAGCCCATCGTTGCCGTGGCCGAGCCGGTTGCAATGACGGAGGACGAGGTGGTCGAGCGAAAACCACTGGTTGAGAAGGCTGCACTAGAGCCCTCCGTCGAGGAGGTCGAGCCGCCAGAATCCAAGTTGGCAGCAATTAAGCCAGAGACAGTTGTCGAGCCCTCCCTGGCAGAAATCCCGGTCAGCGTGGTCGAGCCAGAGACCAAAGCCCAGCCCGTCCTCGCTGCGGCTCCGATCCAGGCGGTCGAGCCACTTGTGCAACTTGACGTGGTCGAGCCAGAGACCGTTCTTCTCGAACAACAGATATGTGCTGTGGACACCAAAGTTACTCTGGCAGAGCAGGAGCCTTGTGCTCAAGTCGTCGACCTTGAGTCCGAGGTTTCGACCGCTCCACCAGCCGCGCCGACCGAAATTGCGGTCCAGCCGAGCTCGCCGATGGCCGCCGCGGAGCAGATCTCGCCAGTGGTACCGACCCCGGTCGAGCTGGGTGCTCCCAATGCCCAGATGACGGTGATCGAGCCCGAGAGCGTTGTCTTAGAAGTGATCGAGCCCGAGAGCGTTGACTCGGAGGTGATCGAGCCCTTTGACTCGAAGGCGATCGTCAACGAATTGGTCGTCGAGGAGCCTACGGTCCGAATGCCCGCGTCGCCTGTAGTCATTGAGATTGACGTCGAGACGCCTTATGACTCGAAAGCGCCAACAAAAGCGACGGCCAAGAAGGCGTCCAAGGTGCGCTCTCACTATCTGCAACCTCCTCCTTCACACAAATCTCTGTTGCAGGCCAAAGCGGCGGCGAAACCCGTCCGACGACCAGCCAAACCAGCCAAAAAAGCCAAGACGGTAGCTCGACACAAGTTATCTTTTATCTTATGCTGCGATGGCCGAGTAGCTCGAGTACTCGACCAGCTCCGAGTCGGACGACTTTCGCAGCACCAAGTCTCGGAAGAAGCCCAAGTCCAAGGCCAAGCCCAAGCGCGTCAAGGAGGTGTACGTCGACGACGACGACGACGATGACGCGTTTGAAGAGGTTGTCTACGCGTCGTGCCAGCACGACCACTCGTTCGTGGACGAGTCCGAGTCGGCTGCCGACACGGCGAATGACGTCGATGCGCTCATGACGCCGCTCTCGATGTTGTGGAACGACCCAGCGACGACGACGTATGCGTGCCGGCGCGAGTTTGTCTGGGACCACACGGTCTTTACCGACTCGGAAGAGCCCGAAGTGCGCCACTTTGTCGACGAGCTGCCGACGCGCGGTCGCCGCAACGTCGTACGTTTTGCCTGTGATTTTCATGGATTTTACAAGGATTTGCGTAGCGTTCGGTGCAGCACAGCCAGCTGCGGCAGAACTTTCTCGCGGGGAACGCGCTGGACCCGCACATGATGGTCGAGTGCGCGCAGTACGCGACGCCGCACGCGACGCACGACAAACGGCCGCAGCAGCCGTTCCGCGTCTGCGTGCACCCGGACGTGGCCTTTGTGTGCGACCTCCACGCGCACTTGGCCATGTGCGAGATCATTGGCTACTTTGGCGGCAAGTTTGACCGCGAAGCCAACGTCGTGTACATCCACGCCGCGTTCCCGTGCCGCTCGATGCAGATCGAGGGCGACGACGGCGCGACCGACGTCGAGATGGACCCGGCGAGCGAGCTCGAGGTGCGCCAGCTCATTGAAGAGTCGCACTTGGACGTCGTTGGGTGGTACCACTCGCACCCGACGTTTGCGCCGGACCCGTCGATCCGCGACATTGAGAACCAAGCGAGCCACCAAGAGCTCTTCAACGAGATGGCGCACGCGCACCCGTTCGTGGGGCTCATCGTCGGCACGTACGACGCCAAGCGCATGGACCCGGTCGGCCTCTTTCGCTACTTTCACGTGCGCGGCGAAAAGATCAACGGCCGCTCGAAAGCGCCGCTCATGTACTTTCCCTTTGAGCTCGCGGCCAAGACGCGCCGGTACAAGCCACGTGCGATCGCGGCTCCGGACGCGTCGGCGAGTCCCAACGTGCTGCAGCGCCTCCGCACCGGATACGGCGAGAGCATCCGTGGCTGCGTCGAGCAAGTCATCCGGCTCCTTGCGTACTACAAGTCGTTTCCGCGTCGGACGCGCTGGGCCCACGCGTGGCAGCGGGTGAGCCATTGTCGTCTCGTGCTGGTGTATTCTTACCATGGTCTAGACGACCAAGGGCGAGAAGCTCCGGAGATCGCTGTTGCACCACGTGCAAGCCATCGACGTGGCGCCGTCGCAGCAGCAAGCCTTTGTCGAGGTGCGAACCGTCGTTTCTCGAAATATGCTTATCCCTTTGGTCTAGGACATAATGACGCACGTGCTCGGGTCGTGGTAGTTGGATAAGACGACGCAATATTCTCGGATTTAGTTTTTGAACGAAAGCGACGGCGACGACGCGCGCGTCGACATGCGGCCGCGCACAAAGCCGCCAAAGCCCTTTTGCTCGTTCATGCGCTTCTTCTCTTCGAGGGCCGCGAGCTTGGCGTTCCACTTGGGCCCGACGTCGCGCACGACGCCGTCCGCGTCGGCAAACTCGGCGAGGATCTTGGTCACATCGCTGACGTTCTCCTTCCCGAGCGTCTCGAAGAACGGGATGAGGTCTTTGAGCACGCGGTCCGAGCGGTCCGCGCCGTCGAGGTACGCCGGAATCGTGATGCCGTTGCCCATGTGCAGCTGGAAGTTTTCCGGGTTGTGGTCGACGACGATGATCTTGCGCAAATCGCGGTTCATCGGGTTGAGATCCTATTCCACCTCAGAACTGAGCAACCACCAGAGGAGGCGACTACCTTGACGTGCGTCCCGTTGAAAAAGTGCGTCTCTTCGCGCGTCAAGTAGTGGAACGCGCATTGCTACATGCGTGTATGAGAAGACGCGACATGCGTGGCAGCGTCTACCTTGCTGTCGAGGCGCGCCAGCACTTCTTCGACCATCATGCGCGGCTCGCTCGAGAAGAGCACAATCTCGTAGTACTAGACGGCGATCGTGTCATCCACCCCAGGCGATAAGGAGATGCATGTACCCGCGCGAGCGTCTCGAGGAACTCGTCGACGTGCGGACGCTTGGCATGGCGCCAACCATACTTGCGCTACAAGACCATGAGACGATGGGCACGCAAATAAACGATGACGTACGTCCCACTCGGAATGCAGCAAGACGTCTTCGACGCCGAGGACGAGGACCGGGATTTGCGGGTAGCCTTCTGGCACGCCACGGTTGATCATGGGCCAGTCCGGCAGCAGCTTGTCGCGCGACGGCTTGGTGAACGGACGGGCCATTTCTTGGATCTGCGCCAGGATGTAGTCGGCGATCGCGCCCACAAACGAGTCGTTGACGCGCTTCGAAATGTCGGCCTTCGTCTCCTCCGAGAGGTAGAGGTGCCACCCGGCGGCAGCCAAGCCCGTCGCGCCAAAGAGCGTGCGGAGCACGAGGCGCGACACGGGCGTCTTGTTGTTCTTGGTGAGCGGGCTCGACGACGCCTCGGCCTCGAGCCGCAGCTGGCGGCGCATCTCGCGGGGCACCGCCTTCATCTCGCGCAGCACCAGCTTGGTCGGCGTACCTGCTTCCGCGGCCACGGACGCGTACAGGCGCGCGGCCCCGCGGGAGCGGACCACGGCCGTCGACACCAAGCGGGACAACATGGCAAAATAAATGGTGCTAAAAAGTTGTAGTGTCCATGCGGCCGCGATACGATTGGTCGAAACCCATAAAAATCAAACGTCGTGACTAATCATACGCATTTATTCCACAAAATACGGCCTCTTTTGGCCAATGTCATCGCGGAACGACGTATCCGCGGACGCGAAGCTTCATTGCGTTTCTTCTCGGTGATCAAGTAGGAAGAGGATGCTCCATGAGGCGAAGGAGGAAGCGCATGACGATGGACCTCCTGCTGTGTAGTGCAGGTGCTCCTCGCTAAGACCAGCGTCAAGACCGGGATGCTCCTCGACCTCTTCAAGGCCCGCGATGACTTCCGCTGTCAGACCATGGCGACGAGCCCCGTCGACGTGCTGCTCTGCGCGCGGCCGGGCGTCGCCCCCGCGATCCCCTTCCTCCTGCTCACAGCGCGAGATACGATCGAAGAGATCGAAGCTACGGTTGCGACGGCCACGGCCACCTTTCCGCTGGTGTATGCGATCCAGCTCTTCCCCGCGACGATGCCTCCGCGGCTCCACCGGCAGGTCCAGACGCTCCTCATGGCGCCACGGCCCCCCGCAAAGCTTTGCATCTTCCCTGCATCCTCGATCGACTCGGCGTTCCGAGCGATCCTCAACATTCGGGAAAAGCATCAATATGCGGCTGCAGCACGCGCGCGAACCTTCTTTGACAAAGTGATCGGACCTTGAGGTTGCATCCACATGATGGTGGCCTCTAGTTGAGCGACCAGCAGCTCTCCAAGGAGCACGAGCGGGGCATCCTCGCGGCCAATTTGCATTTCCTCTCGGACGACGACTGCGACATGCTCCTCGACATCTTTGGTGCGTTCATGAATGGCATGCAAAGCGATGCAACGAGGGATTAGGATCGATTGCCAACGTGATGCAAGCGTCGGCCAAGGACCTCCTCCGCCGCACGGTGCTCGACAAGGTCAGCGCCGAGCTCGTCGCCGACTTTTTCCAGCCCGATCGATAAGCGTAACGCAGCGCCAAATATACTCGTTGACTATAACTACAGCCGCGGCTTTCCATGAGCGAGAGTCCATCGCGCCCGTCGCCGCGCAAGTCGGTTGCCGCGACGCCGTCCGAGGTAAAAGGCCCTTCTTGGCGACTGACGACTGACACCACCTTAGCTGGCCGCTAGCCCGGTATGTCGCCACCCTGATGCAGTACGACTGATCATTCCGGCTCATCGTTGTAGCAAGCCAAATGCCAACAGCGCATCAAGCTGCGCATTGTGCAGGAAATGGTCCTCAAGAAGCAAGAGCGTGCGGACGAAGAGAGCAAGCGGCAACGCGCGCACGAGGTGGGCGCTTGCTCTGCACTCTCAGCTCTAACCTTAAAACTGCTAGATGATGGCGCAGGGTGCTAAAGTCGCTGCGCAGCGAATCCAGGCGCGGCGCCAGCTCGCTCTCAAGACCCTCGTACCCGTTCGATGTCGTCTCCCACACTAACGTACTACGACATGTGTAGGACGACGGGGTCGAACTACTCATCTTGAACCAGCCGTCGTCCATCGAAGCGATGAACGTCGCGCGCATGCTGTCGCCCCGCTTTGCCGAGCATGTGTCCTTCTCCCCGGCCGTGCCCACGCACTCCAAGGCCGACTTTCGCGTCAAGTCGCTTCTCGAGAACGATAGGATCGGCGCCTTTTACCGCTAATACCACCCCGTTATATCGCAACAGGTGGTAGCCGATCAAGAATTCTTTGTTCCGACACGTGCTAGAACGTGCCACGCAGACTGTGCTTGGCAAAGGCGAGCGAGTCGCCGTACTTGGTGTGCTGCTTGTGCTTGCGGTGGAAGCTGTTGGACTCGTCTTTGGGCGGCGGTGCCTTCTTGTAAAACTCGAGGTCGTTGCGCGTCGCGTACCGGCCGTCCATGTACGCAGCGTACTTGTCGCTGTCCGAGAGCGTCGGCGCGGCCCAGCGCTTGCTCAGCGACTGGTACGTGGCGCCCTTGCTGTGCGCGCCCGGAAACACCTGCTTTTCGTACTTGTGGTACAGCTGTTTGGTCACGTGCAGCAAATCGTGCTCGAGCGCTATCCGCGTGCCCTTGAGCGCCGCGAGCTCCTTCTCTGCTGCCGTCAACTGCACCGTGGGCAGCACCGGCGCCGACGCGCTTGGCGGGAAGCTCATCGGCGCGAGCGTGGCGTCAGACGGGGGGCCGCGCGTTGACGGCAGAGGGCGCACGAGCGACGTAATGATCTTCTTGTTGTTCTCTGGCCCCAGAAGCCGACTTGCCCGTAGTGTGCGCTACGCATGCACGGGTCGTTTTTCGTTGCAGGTTGAAGTCTCGGAAGCTACGTACGACTTGGGGCTTGTCGGGTACGAAGACCGGGCGAAGCTTCTTACGAGCCTCCTCGACGTCACCGAGCTTGGTGATGTCTGCAATCAGCGCGTCGCCGCGCCGCGCCTATGAAGAACGAAGGTGGGTACCTTCCGCGCGTCGTCCAACGTACGCGCTGCAGCTGCCGGTGGAGCTTATCGCTGTGGAGGATGTGCTCCATCTCCGAGAGCACTTGCAGTGGCACCGACGGCTTCTCGAGCCGCTTCATGAGGTCCAGCGTCGAGCATCCGCCGCCGCCGATGGCCGCGAGGTTGCTCTCGAGACCTGTGCCCTCGACCATCCTCGCGATCTGATTGCGCAGATATTTTTACGACGGGACAAAAAAAGGACAAAAACTACGTTCTGATATCCCAGAGAGTTGGCGATGGATATTCGGACGCGCGAGTTGCACAAACCGATCCTCGTCTACGGCTACCGACACACATCGTTCGAGTGGCTTGCTGGAGGTAATATTACTACGTAAGCTCATTCGAAGCCATTCTTCAGCTGGGGCAAGCAGTGCTTGCTCGCTGTACCCTTTTTTGTCACGCGTTCCACATGTTGGGTGCACCATGGTTGTCAACGGCCGCGATGGCGGCAACCCGCCGCCGTTAGGACGAGCGTTGCTCGAGGACGGGAACGGTATTGTGGAGACAGCATTATCCGATTTCCACGATGACGTCCATTCGGTCGTCCAGCAAAGTGCAGAGCAGCGCGCCGCGGAGTCCGCTCAAGAAGGCGATGCGCGCCAAGTTTGGGCTCATGGACGCGCAACCGATCGGCCAAGTGTCGAGCGAGGATCCGCTGAGCGCCGACCAACTGCGCACCAAGCTTTTGCGCCAGGTGGTTGCACTGCTCGAGCGCGACGACTCGATGGTCGACTTCGTCGCGTCCGTGGTCGACGCGGTCGCGTCGCAGCCGCTCGAGCAAGACACGATGCGGCGCGCGTTCCTCGCGCAGCTCAACGAGGCCGAGGGCCGCAAGCCGGTTGCGTCGAGCAGCGGGCGGGTGAAAAAAAGCTTTAACGTCCACCACTGCCGCGACTTTATTCTGGCGTGCGTCAACGAGATCGTGGACCTGGACGAGACCGACCCAACCTTTGACTACGCCGAGTCCTGCGCCGACTCGACGAGCGACTACGTATGGCGCGCACCGAAAGCGAAATGCTCGTCGCCGTCACTGACAGAGCTGCTTGTGCGGCCGGCGTCGCCGCTCGCCAAGACCGGCGTCGGCTTTGACTACATTGAGACGCTCTCGACCCCCGCGCCGGAGGACGTCGCGAGCCACCTGCGCCGGCTCATCCGATTGCACAACGAGCAGCACTCGGACTCGACCGATAACGTCGACGACGACGATGAAGACGACGAAGCGTTCAGTAAGGTGCACGCGTACGCTCGCTCGATGGCGCAGAAGCGGCGCGCGTTCGCAGCCTTCAAAGAGGCGATGCCCATGGAGCCGTCGAGTCCGCTCAAGAAGGCGGCGCGCCACGGACCGCTCGCGACCAAGCGCTTTGTGTTCAACGTGCTTCAGTGCGAGCTGCCGGCGATGGCGGCCGACAGCCCGCGCAAGAAGAGCCCGCTCAAGGAACTTGCGACCAAGTACAATTCGTTTTCCAAGCTGAAGGCGCACCGCAATGGGTCGCCAACGAACTGGCAGCGCAAACAGCGGGCGCTGCAGCAGCTAAAGGCGCAGACATCCAACACCAAGATTGCCGTTCGGCCGCGCGTTGCGCCGTCGTGGCGCCAGTCGTTCCGGGACTTTTCGATTGTCGTCCTCGGCGTCTTGCTCGCCTTGGCCGCGGTCGATGAGTTCCAACGCTAGCTAGCATTTTATATTGCTCAACTAAAAAGATGAATATTTACGCAGAGTAGTAGCAACGATGACTCACGTTCGCACCGTGCATTGGTACACATACGCGTGTCTGGCACAGCAGTAGCAGTGCTTCGTGCCCATCCCGCTCGGGCGAGAAAGCTCCTGCCACCCATCCGAGGTCACGGAGAGTGGGTGCGCATGACAGCAAGAGAGGTCGTTGGAAGAGCACAATGGACGAGACATGGATAATAGCAGTTAGACATATAGACCAAGGACGGCGACGGGTGGACGACAAGGACGGGTACACTTCTCCGATTGAGGTGTGGTAGATGTAAATACGTGGTGCGGAGCGACGTTAGAGGATCGCCGAGCAGAGAAAGTCGAGCTCGTCGAACGAGAGGCGGCCACGGTGCGCCTCGGGCGAGTGCACGGGCACGGGCTCGGCGCAGAGAGTGTGTTCGATCTTGATGGTCTCTTGCCAGCAGAGATCGTCGACGCTGAAGAAGCTTTCACTGCACGAGCTGTCGGTGGACGGGCGGCCACACGAGTCGGTGTCCGAGAGGAAGTCGTCGCTGCTGCGGTGCGTCATCGGGCTCAATTCGCCGAGCGTCTTCTTGTCGGTCGACTTGGCCGACTTGGCCACGATGCGCTTTTGGCGGTCAAACTTGCGCTGGATGCGGTTGGCCTTTTCGCGGTGAAAGTTGCAGAGCTGGTGGAACTGCCCGTTGCGCTTGTACGAACGGTCGTTGAGGCACTTGCCCGTCTTGTAGCGGCACTTGCCGCCGTCGTGGTGCGGCTCGTCGCTCGGTTTGGCGACCATCTTGAGGGTATGTGGGTGGCGGGTGGAAATGGAAAATGACCGCTGGGTAGCGCCTTGTGGGCGCACAATACGACCACTGTGCCCAGTGCCACATGGCTTCTTGTCAACACTTGGGCAGATGGTTCGTAGTAGCCACCGATGGGGTTAACACCCAGCCCGCCACGTGGCGCGCCCGGACGCCAGAAAGGCCGCAAATAGAAACCCCACAATGTACACGCTGGGTGGCGGCCATGACGTGGCGAAGCTGCCAGATGGCGGGCGTATGGCGGCTTCGTCGCCGTCATCGTTCGAATTCGATCGCCTCTGCAAGGTCGCCGTCTTCTTCTTCTTTGTCTTCTTCGTCAAAGGCTTGTGAACTCGAGTGCTTTTACATGTATAAGGTAGGACGGGCGGCGGTGATCGTGGTCGACACCATGCTCCGTCATTGCTGTCGCTTGCCCGCGGACGACGATGAAGAAGCATCGTGCATCTCTCGCAATGTGTGAAAATGTAGGTAGAGAGCCGGCGTCTCGTTTTTACCCTCGGGGTAAGCTCCAAAGCGCAAAGCAGCTGCTGCGGAAAGGCAGCTGCCGCTTGGTTCTGAGTTTTCGAGTACCACGCACATAGCTCCCACACGCGCCCGAGATGTTGAACGAGAGGCCACCACCGATGTGTTACAAAAAGAAAGAAATCACCGCTGGATACGCATGCCGGTACCTGCTGTGGTTGATCGCGAGTAGCTATTACCACACGGCACAACGGACGACGCGCCTCGACATCCGAAAGCAATGGGCAAACTCAAAGTGCATTGTCGGCGATCGGTCGTAAGCACCCAGCATCCGTCTCTGCGAGAGACACCAAGAGTAGCCGGCTTTACGATAGACCTTCTTGCGTAACGAGCCAGCGTCGCGACGTAAACACGGTGTGGCACTCTCTTCTTGCGGGCGCACATACGCCGTCAACCATACTAAACAACACGGTGCGTCCGAGGTTGCCGCGCCTTGCAGGGGGTGTAATGGCACTGGATATACCAATCACGGACTGCCTTGAAGCTATTTTCAGCTGCGAAACGAGGTCATGACGCGGCCGCCTCCTATCGCGCCCATGGGCCCGGAGGCGTGGGCGCACACCGTACGTCGCTTCCTGGGTGGTGCTGTCGACGATGGCGCTCTGTGTAGCCAGCGCACGCGACGCGGCGAGAGCTGCAGGACGCGCGGTGGGAAGAGAACCGCGCAATGGCCGCGACGCTAGCGCACAAGAAAAGGACCCCCGCGGTCGCGCGCGGACACAAATACGTCCTGTCGGGGCTCATGCACCCACGTCGGGGCGACAGAGACAGTCGATCACCACGAGCGACGGCTGTCGAGAGTGGGACGCCGGCCAAGCGGCGGACGCGGTCCGCGCTTCTGGACGAGCGCCGAGCTGCGCAGGTCGAGGCGAGCGCTGCGTTGGCACCCGAGACTGTCGTGGCACCGCTCCCGGCAAGTGCGTGGTGGAAGAATGAGCCTGGCTATGTCGAGAGCCCGCCGGCGCGACCGAAGCGGGACGTGGCCAGTGCGCCAGCGACGCGGTGCATCACGGTACGTGCGCTAGCTACTAGTGAATATTGCGCGTCGTGCGGTTGTAGCCAACGTGCGTGAGAGTAGCTCGCCGAGGTCACGGAAAGGCGCGGGAAGAAGACTCAGGTGTCGGGCAAAATCACGCGCGAACGGTTCCGGCCGGCCACCGCGGGCAGCCGTCAGCCACAGCTGGAGCGCTGGACCGACGCGGTCTTTCACTTTTCGCTGCCTCAGCAGACAGAGAACCAGGTCCTCATGGAAAAGGTACACAGCCGGTGGTATATACACTTGCATCATACTCGTTCCAGTACGACATGGCCTTCAAGCTGCCCCTCGACAGCTCCTTCACGACAGACAAGATCTTCCACGAGGAGCTCATCAAAGGCGGCATCAAGCGCGCCGTGCACGTCGAAACCGTACGCGTACCTTGACACCGCGAGTTTGGCCATCGCGTGGCTTTAGGTCGACCTCGCCGACATTGACAAGTCGGGCAAAGCAACGCGGAAGCGCATGGCCGAGAGCCGACGGCTGCGAGAGAGTCTGAATGCGTACAAGGCCACGACGGGTATCTCGTGCTTGCACAAACGAGAATACGATACTATGGCGCAGGGTTTGTGGACGAGCCGACGCCGGTCGTCGAGGAGCTACGCGGACGCGCCAAGTCGGTGCGCTTCGAGGAGCCGCTGGACGACAAGGCACGGTTGCGCATGGTCCGCGACGCGCGGCGCGTGCGTTCAGGGGGCTTTGACATGGTCACGCAGCTCGAGAAGCTGCACGTGTATCCGTGATGCTGTCGACGAGATTGCTGTACAGTAGAAGAAGATCTTTATTGGTTGTTTTCGATCCAGTGCTGGGCCCAAGCCATGACGCGGGCGACGTTGGACTCCATGTCTTCGATCGAGACGGACGAGAGCTCCTGCACAATCTCGGGCTCGTAGCTGCTCTGCGCTTCCTCGAGCACGACCTGCATGATCTCGCACTCGACGTTCTCCTGGACCTTTTTCTCCGAGTAGCCGCGGGCGACGAGCCGGTCAAAGAGCGTCGTGTTGTCCGAGCGCAGCACAACGACCTATGCACTTATAACTCATTTCGAGTCGATCGCGCAACGACGTACGAGGTCGAACCAGCGCTCGGGGAAAAAGTCGCACGTGTGAAAGTCCACAATCACGCCGCCGTCACCCGAGCTCATGACATCGTCCATCTCGTCGACGACCTTGTCCTCGTCAAGGACGAAGCAGTCGAAGTCTTCGTCGCGGCCCGAGTGGAGGCTGTGCTGCTTGACCTACACCGCGCGTGAGCCATGTGCAGTCCGCTTGGATCCGAGTCGCACGAGGTCGCCAACGTTGATGTTGCGGAACTGCATCTTCTCCTACTCGAGCAGGCATTAGCTTATACAAATAATAGCTCAGGGCGTAGCGCACCGCGAGCATTTGGCTCATCGTCGTCTTCCCCGTGCCAGGGGTCCCCGTGACGAGGATGTTGGGCAGGCGGCGGGCCATCGTCGAAGCGCAAGTGCTGCCAACCAGGCAACCACGCGCTCATTGGCTCGTCTTTGAAAAGCATGCGGTATTTTGGCCAATCGCATTTCAATATCTCTCCCAGGCGCGCCAATGGGTGGGGCACATCGTGGTGTGGATACTAACCAAGGCAACAAAACAGCAAATTCCCTTGCTACTAACTCGCGTACGGAGCTGCGTCATTGTCCACCTTGGGTCTCCTACGTGCGACCATCGATGGACGTCCGTCCTCGTGCCGCGTTGGGTGGTGGCCACTCTCTGTATACTTCAACCAGAGTAGCTTGGACGCTGGCCACTCGCAGCTCCTTTTCCTTGCCTCTCGACGGACAGGCGCGTGGGTACTTGTTGAGTGCCGATGTTGCGGTCCACTCGTGCACCGTACGTACCACGAGTCAGCAGAAGTACGACAGCCGCAACAATCTCCGACCGGCGACAGTGACAACGAGAACGACGCTGACTCGCACTGCTGCCTCGTCCCTCGTCGCTCCCTCTCGTGGGCGCAGTGGCAGTAACACCGCCCCCGTAGCTAACGGAAAACTACCCGGCGTCTCCGTCACAGGCGTCGTCTGCAGTCGATCGTTGGCAGCTGAGTGTCGACACCCAATAGGAGCTTATGCTCCAGATCTTATTAGACGTCGGGAAATTCGTCGTCGAGGATATGCCTGCGGTGGATCTTGCGCTGAATCGCCTTGCGCTGCTCGTATGCAGTCTTGGCCTGCGCGCGCAGCACGACGTCCATGACCAAGTCGAACGTCCGGAACCACTCGTCCAGCGCGATCGTCTTGTGCTGCGTCGGCCAGATCGTGTCGATGCCGTCGCGCACCGCAATGTACTCGAGGCCGAGGTACTGGCACAGATTCCGGTACCCAAACTTCTCGGTCAAAAGCGGGAAAATCTCAATCACGTACGCGTGCGCGGCCGCAAAGAGCACGTTCGAGAGGCCCGCGCCGTGCATCCCGATGATGACGCGGCTATCGGCGATGAGTGCGATCTGGTCGGCCATCGACTTGGTGGCAAAATCCACGGCCTGGAACCGACAGTGGCGCCCGTACTTGTCCTGCATCGCCCGCAGTACGTCGTCCTCGTTGGCCCACATGCGGTTGACGTTGCGGCCGCGCACGGGGCGCCGCGACACGATCGTCACAACACAAGCCCGCGTCGCGTCGTGCACGGGGCTGTGCGTGACCCGGGGCACCTTGAACGCGTCAAAGGCAGCATCGCGAAAGTCTTGGAGGAGGTAGCTCTCAAAGCACGGCTGCTCGTCGTCGAGATGCTGCGTGAGTGGACCAAAGTGCTCAAAGGGTACGAAGAGCGCGTCGTTGGGAAAGCCGACGCGCTTCCCGACGAGGTCTGTGCCGTAGATAACGTCGTGGGCCGGACTTAGCAGTTTCTGAAAGATGCTGTCGTACTCCATGCGCCCAGCATCATCGAGGAAGACGACGCGCGTCGTCGATGGCGACCACTGCAGTTGGTGTGTCGCGACGACCCAGGCGTTGATGGCTGCCGAGAGAAGGTAGTACGGGTTCGTGGCGTCCTTGCGCGCAACGATGATCGCGCGCTCCTTGATTTCCGTGTCGTAGACGACGCGTTCGCGCTGGTTGCAGCGCCACTCGGGCGTCGACTCGTTTGCATGCTGCGGAAAGACGTGGGCGAGGAGCGAGGACAGTGCGGTCGGATCCTGAAGCGCACACTGACCGCACAGGACGCGGTTGGGCTGCGCCTTGTAGCGTGGGTCGTACCCGTCGTCATCCTCGATCGGGTTCTTGATCAGCGCCATGGCAGTAGCACCACGCATGTCGAGGCCAAAGTTGCGCCATACGGAGCCATCGGTCCAGAGCCCGTCGCCTGGTAAGTGCGTAATGGACGTGCTGTCGTCGTCGCGGCTGCAAAGCTCCTTGGCTTGGATCGCGTCGACGATGCCATAGTCGACTTGGCGGTAGCAGCTGCTAAAGTTGTAGAGCTCGAGGAACGCGTCGTCGACCGAGATGTTGCGGCGCTCGTGGTAGGCACGCGCCCTGGGCGCCGGCGTCTTGGGCGCGAAGAAGGTGCTGCTGTAGTCAACTTCGAGCATGTGCAGGATCGAGATGCTCAAGGCGATCCAGACGACGAGGTACGCGCCGAACGTCCAGACGTACGCCGAGAGCGACAAGTGGCGGAGCATCGTCAGTCTACAAGTGCGTGATATCCTGTTACCAATATGTTGCGTGCGTTTAGACTCTGTCGCCAGCAGCCATCGCTACGTCGCAGACGCTTGCTATATGGAGCCAGACACGGTCCTAGAGTCCGAGAGCGCAACGTCTTGGTCGAGCGCATGAGCATGCTGCTTGTGCGTCGAGGCAATCGTGATGTTTACAAGCGGTCCAGGTCGCGGCGACACCAGAGGCTAGACTAATATCACCCAATATTAGTCACCTGCCTCACAAATGCACTGTGTAATCGGCAGGACAGAGTCGCGCCCTAGAGCGTACGCAGACAAAAATGCACTTTGCGGGACGTGAGCAGCTACCAAAGCCTCGGCAAGCACATAGGGAGGCATGGTTACCGTCGTCGATAGCTTAAGAGGTGTTTTATTAGTGTATTGCGTCGAATCTTGCCGCAGGGAACCTCGAGGATGTTTTGAACCGGCCACGGTGGGACTTCGAAATGTGGGCGGCTTCTGTGGTGCGCCGCAGCGCTGGGACCAAGGTCTCGATGCTCCGCGCTCAGCCGCTGGTGAAGCTCCAGCCGCACGCGCCCATGGCCATGCGAACTAGTCGTGGCGCGCAAGTTGGGCGGCTCCAGCTCCGCCAAGCCAGCTCCACAGTGACGAAGGAATCGAACCAGATGAGCTGGCTTGTGGCGTCGGGCACTGGCGCCTTTGCTGGCACGGTCTCTGCCCTCACAGGCGTTGGCGGTGGTATCATCATCATCCCGGTACGTTATTGCGCTCTTGTCGTACTCTCTCACCTCGCTATCTGTCATCCTAGACGCTAGCCAAGTGGACGGGCTTGACGCAACAAGCCATCAACGGCACGTCGATCGCCGCCGTGACCGTGAGCGCCACCGTAGGGTCCGTGAACTACCTAATGGCGGGCTGCGTCAACATCCCGATGGCGGCGCTCGTGACGTGCTCGTCCATCTTCTTTACCAAGGTCGGCGTTCAACTGGCTCATAAGTACGCGCGCCTCTTCCTGATCCTCGATCCTGAGCACTGACCCTCGTAGGCTCAGCCAAGTCCACCTGCGTCGCGTCGTGGGGGCGGCGATGCTCGTCAGCGTACCCTTCATCTACTTCAAGGACGAGCTCCAGGCCCGCCGAAGCGACGCGAGCAAGTCGGACAACATTTCGCTCGAGAAGCGCTTGGACCTGCAGTACTTTACGCACCACGCCGACACCTCGGCGTACGTGGACGCGGTCGCGAAGAACTTTCCGCATTTCTGCGCTGTCAACGCCAAGTACCTCGTCGCTGGCGCCATCTCGGGCTTTGTCTCGGGGCTCTGTGGTCTCGGCGGCGGCATTCTCGTACACCTCGTATGCAAAATGTATGAAGAACTCATCCTGTGACGTAGATGACGACGTACTTGACGGCGGCGAGCGAGATGCCGCAGGCCGACATCATCGGCACGTCGCTCTTGGGTATCGTGCCCGTGGGGGTTTCGTCCACGTACCACAATTTGCAGAAGAAGTCGGTGCACCTCCCGAGCGCGCTCAAGATCGGGGTCGGCCTCGTGGCGGGCGTCGCCATCACGTCCAAGTTTGTTACGCTCAACGTGTCGCAGGAGAACCTCCGGCTCATCCTTGGCTCGACGCTCGCGACGTCGGCCATCGTCATGCTCAAGAAGGCGTGAGAGATTCGAGTGAAACGACAACAATGTATCAGAGTTGCTGTTGCACTGTTGGATTTTGTATCGCGCCGAAACGCGCAAATAGTGTGCGTGCCATATAGTGTTGGGTCGCAGTTCGAAAGATCCCCAGGATACGGGGCAGCGCCATGAAGCGCTTCTTCCGCCTGCCGGCGTCGCCCTCGAAGCGCAAGTATGAGGTCGAGCGCTCCAAGCTCGAGACCGCGCTGCTCGACATCGAGGCCAAGAAGCAGGCCCTCCTCGCCCCGACGGACGCGCTCGATGAGCTCGTTGAGGATGCGACGACCCTCGGCGAGACCCGCCCCGTCGGCGGAGGCAGCCCGCCACGTCCGACGTCGCCAGCAAAGACCAAACCCGTGGCGTTCTCCAAGCCGTCCTTCTCAAGCGACCTGCCCATGTCGCTCGCCATGTCTTTCTCGTCCGTCAACTCGGCCATGCGGCTCTCGCCCTCCAAGCAGTTTCTCGACACGACGAGCCCCGACGCCGTATGGAGCCTCAAGGAGGTGTTCCTCGCACAAGACGCTAGCAGCGATGTCAAGATCGGAACTGTCGAGCTCCATACGAACGCTAACCTCAAGGCGGCGCGTGAGCTCATCGCTCGGTTTCTTCCAAGCGCTCCCAAGGGTTTTGTCTTCGAGACAGGGGACGGGGTTCTCGACGCGAGCGCGGAGAGCATGATGCTCCTTCAGGACGTCTTCCCCAGTCACATTCGTCTGCGAGAACTGCAGCCGTTGACATCCAAGGAAGCGCAGCAGCGCCGAAACTTGGTCAAGGAGCGGCAACAGGCCGCGTTCGAGCAGTTTGTTCAGCGCCGGACGCAGGAGCCCAAGCCACAGGAGGCGTACAAAGTCGAGGTTATTGAAGCACCCGTCGTGGCGCCCAAGCCTGCGTACGTACCCGAGCCCGTCGTGGTTATCGCACCGCCCAAGCCTCCCAAGCACGTGCTCTTGTCGACGGTGCAAACACTTGCTGGTCATGAGTGCCACATCAAATTCCTCTACTTCCCGACGCTCGAGCGCGTCATCTTACGCACAAAAGTCGTGGGTTGTCCGTTGCCCGTCACTTTGGCGATCCACGAAGACGAGTTCCGGAAGCTTGTCGGCGTCCCAGATACCACGCTATTGCTGGGTAGTATATGTTGTTGACGCCAAATCTCATGTCAACATTTAGAGTACGCCTTGGACGAGGTCAACTCGCAGTCAATCTTGAGCAACTTGATCTTGCTCGTGCCTGAAGATGCCCACGGACTGTTCCAGATGCGTCTGAAGCGATATGTGCACGTGGCCAAGCCGCGGAAAGAGCCGGCGCCCAAACACCCCGACGAGGACGGAGAGAAGCCGCCGGTTGTCATCGAGCCAACGCCCGCGGCACCACCATCCGCTGCGCCCGAGCGCGTCAAGCGCGTCCGCATGGCCAAGTCGCCGCGAAAAGAAAAGCCAGCACCCGCACCTCCTGTGGTTCCGGCCGTAGAGCCCGAAAAAATGGCTCCGGTGCCAGACCATGTAGAGCCACCGCGTCGCAAAACGTCGCCCCCCAAGCCGCGCGAGAAGGCCGTGTCGCCGCGGCGCGCCCCGCTTGAGCAAAAGGCACCAGCGCCCGCTGTCGAGCATCGAGCTGTGACGGCAGCGGCGCCGTCGCAACACCACCGACCGGTACATACAGCTCCCGAGAAGGCGTCGCACGATGATCACCACCGTCGGCTACGTGCCAACCTCGAGGCGGCGTCGCGCAGCTCCATTTCTGCGATTGACGACGGCGACGACGACGTGGTCCCGGAAGCCGCGCCCGCGCTCAAGGCGGTGTTTGTTCACCTCGCGATCCAAAAGCTGCGGGCAGGACCGGATCGCGTGTCTCCTTTGCACCACGGTGACGGCCACAAAGACGACATTGACCGTCTGTACGCAGCGTCCAACCCACGCTCGATCTCCCTCTCGCGCCACTGCCTCATCGCAGCATTCTGGGACTACCTCTCAGCGCAAACGATTTTCATTCCTGCACACCCGATCCAATATGCGCTGGCTATCTCGGAAGACTCGGGGGCCTTGAGCCACGTGGCCCCGCTCCTCGCGCTCGCGATCGAGGATGAGATTGCAGCGTGCGACGCGGGCAACGTCCGCGACATCCAGCACGACTGGCGCAAAGCGGTCATGGATGATGTCGTCGACATCGCGCATCTCATTGAGAAGACGGCCGAGTGGGGCGAGGAGGAGGTCGGTATCATCCGGACGTTTGAAACTAAGCTGTCGCTCATATGCCACGTGTCCCGCTGGAGCCTCCCCAGTTACTTGCGTGCGGCCATCTTTGAAGGCGTCTTTCCGCTGCTCAACATCAAGGAGCTGCCACTCGAGACGCCGTCGCTTTCGTACATTTCGGCAAAAGAGATGCCGTTCAAGCCACAGTTGCTCAAGAACCACGCACAACTCGAGCCCGAGCTGCACGCGATGCTCGAGCTGCTCTACATCCTCGCGTACTCGTACTACCACTCGCCACGCTGCACGGAGAAGCGATTGCGGCACTTTGCGACGCCCGCCACGTCGCCCGATGGCCGTGTTGGAGCCATTTTGCTAGCGATCGACGAGCGCCAAGCGCGGCTCAAGGAGGCCCGCTTTGCGTTTACAGACGTGACATCGCACGTGTACCTCGAGCGCATTATTCTGCTCGAGCCGCGTCTCGCCCACGTACACCCGATCGCCAAGGCGAGCAAGCTCCCGTCCTTCTTCAAGGAACTCGCCGTGTACTTAATCAAGATGATCCGGTTGTACCGCGCCCACCTGGCGAGCGCGTTTCGCGTTCACGACGGTGTCCAAATGGCCCAAAGCATGCGCTTCCTACTCGAGCTCGTCAAGGCGCACGTGCACGAAGCGACGGCGGTCGAGGCGCCCAGTCCGATCGGAGATTACCTCGTGAGCGCCTTGCAGCCGCGGCTCGGTCTCGACAAGGTCAACATTGAGCGCACCCGACTGCACCTGCCGCGGGTCATGTTGCAGTCTGAGTTTTGTCTCGCAACGCACGCCCAGTGCGCCGCGCTGAGCACCTCAGATGCCACGCGACGCCGCGCGCGCTGGGACAGTGCAGTCGACATTCCGTCGACGACGCTGCAGCGCTACTTCTTCAAGGGCGAGCACGAGCTTCTTTGTGAGTTTGTGCTGCTATCAACGCTGCCCGACCTCTCGATCGTGTCTGAGCCAATGAACGAAAACGAAGACGACGCTGACGGCGAACCCACCCCGTTGGACTGGGAGCAGCTCCACGCCGTGTACGTGGACGAGGTCGTTCGGCTATGGACGTATTTGCTCAACTGGCGCCAGCAAAAGAGCCCCGATGGCTTCCGTGTGCACGTGGCGTTCGGCCTCAACATTCGGCAAGCAACCGACGCGGTCTTGACCCCGGAAATGCTCGCGAATACGAATTTGAGTTTTTTTCTCCACCACCCGGACGTCCAGTCGGTCGCCGTGGCGTTTGCCGTCTCGGACCAACTCCTGCGCGTTTCTATTCGCTTCTACCAGGAGGTGGCGTCGTCGACGCGGCACGCTACGGTGACGCACCGTCCGAGCACGACGGGGCGCCACGAGAACAACGCGTTCAACCAAGCGCTCGTGCAACTCGGTGTGATGCCGGCCGCCGCCGTGAGCATCTTTCTTTTGCAGAAAGGACTGCAGTTTATGACGCAAAACCTCTTTGGCGAGCGCCAGCACGCGTGGGATCGCCTGCCGCGAGGTCGACCGCTCTACGATGCACTCGTCGAAAGCCGGCTCACGACGCGGTACGCCGAGGACCTCATGGAAATAGCACTCGACAAGATCTTTGCCGCGATTGGCGACAACCCTTCGCTTCTGACGCCCGACATTGTGCAGTTGCTACTGCGGATCCTCGAGCGCGCCAACAACGATTGCGTCGACAAGGACGGATCGACGGCCGCGGTGCAGTCGACCGTTGAGTTTATTGCCGCAGGAACCTTGCGCTTGCTCCAGCATCTCTTGGCGCCGCCAAAACCAGCCACACCGGCCGTCCCAAGTCTCTCGTCCGTCGTGGCGTTGCCTCCGCTCACGCAAAAGCAGGTGGGCAGCGCGGCTTTCTTCCAAGCATTGGACTGGTGTGTAGAAATGCTTTGTCGATTGCGACGGACTCGGCTTGCTCCACGACATGCTGTCGGCGCCGTCGTTTCTCTCGACGACCGCGTTTGTCGACGGCAAGACCACCAAGACCGTCTGCGAAGCGCTCATTCGGCAGGTGCTACTGACGCGCGAGATGTGCGGACCGAGCCGCGCGCTCATCGTGCACCACACGCTTTGGACAACGTACATACTGCCGCGCATCGAGAGCGACGAGCTCGAAGTGTACACGGGCGTCATTCTCCAAGCGCTCGGTGACGTGCTCCTCGGAGCCAAGGACAAGCACATGGTGTCGTATCTGATTCAATGCAGCTGCGGCTGCCCCCGCAACCGCCACTGGTACTACATGCATGGTTCGGCAGTGGAAGCAACTCGATTGTGTCTAGGACGAGCGACGTTTACGAGGCTATGACGTCGCTCTTTTTGGACTTGATAGGCACCAAAGTCGGCGTCCGCTGGGCCCAGGAGCACGACATGGCGGGCGTCCTCGGGCTCTTGCGGCCGCTCGAGATGTTCTACATTCAGCTGCTGCGCGACACGTCGGGGCTTCAAGCCCGCTTGCTGCGCACGATCTACCTCCTCGCGCGCCGCATCAAGATCCTTGATAGTCTCGTCAAGTTCTTCGACGTCGTGCCCACCGCGCTCATCGGCCTCTACTCGCGCGGAAAAGTCCCGCATTTGAACGTCGAGATCTTGCGCGTCCTCGCTTCCCTCCTCCACCTCGGGCTTCTGCGCAAGGTGCCGCATGTTGCCGTCGGCGTCTACGGCGCGACTGTGACGGAGCTCTCGCTGCTCCTCGTCGACGCTGTCACACCGCACATGATGGACATCGTCCCGACGCTGTGGTCGGACATGGACTTGTCGAAAAAGGTGTTTCGCGGCGCCAAGCTACTCGCACTTATCGCGGACGAGCACCATGCGAGCTTGGCGCTGGCTACCAAAGCCACGGACCTCGACGGGCGGATGCCCAGTCTTCTCATGCTCTTTGTAAATCTTCTCGATGCCAAGCTCGATAAGGCGCTCGTCGCACTACAGCTACCCGCGCTCATGGGGCTCATTTGCCTCTGCTACGACCCGACGATCGCGCTGATTTGCACCAAAGATAACCTCTTAGCCAAGGTGCTCGACTTGCACGAGACGGTCTCGACGCCGTTCATTTCGACCAAGCAGCAGCTGTGCATTTGGATCGCCGCGCTTCTCTGCACGCACATTTCGCTCCACGGCGCCGCCGCCAGCTTTGTAAGCGACCAGACGATGCGGCGCGTGCTCAAGCACTCGTACGCGAGCATTGCGCGGATCAACCGGAGCCGGTCCAACGGGTTCGACGTTTACGTGGGGCTCGTGAACCGCCAAGGCGCCATCGACGTCTTCGAGCCGCCACCCGTCGCGGGCAAGCGCCCCGTGCACGACATGACGCGCGTTCTCACGTCGCTTCGATTGCAGATGGTGGCGATCGAAACGGATCCTGGCAGCGCCCGCGACGATGTTTCCAAGCAGGACCACTTGCTCGAGTGGGAAGAGAACCTCGAGGCGAGCATTGGTGACCGAGACGACCGCACGTCAACGTTGTATTTCATCCTCATGTGCGCGCTTTCGTGCATGACGTCGAGCGTTGGCGCGATCAAAGAGTCGCGCGAGGTCACTGTCGTCGCCCAGTCGATTGCGGTACGCTTTACGAAGCTAGATGGTGGTGACATTTGAAACAGGGCTACTTTATTGCGGAGGAGCTCACGCCGCCAGAGTACTTTGTCGCGACCTACTGCTTTGCGCTCAAGAACATTGTGTTTGCAGCGTTTCGCGCCGCGTCGCTCAACGAAATCTGGGAGCAGCAGACGCTGATGCAGTTTCTAAAGAAGCTCTTTGGATTTGTGCACGCCAAGAAGCCCGCGGCCAACTTGATCTCGCTCGGCCAGCAGTTTGCGCTGGAGCTCTTCTGGGGGCTCGTGCTTATCTCGAAAGGCAAGGAGGCGTGGTTTCTCAAGGAAGACCTCTCGGATGCGCCGCCGCAGCCGCTCGTCATTGCGCCGTTGAAGACGAGTATCTCCGTGTTGACGCGTGCGCTTGTCGACGACGGATCAAAGCCAGTGGCTCTCAGCTGCGCCAAGCTTAAAGTCCTCGGCGACGCCGCCGCCAGCACGGACCCGATTGTGGCCGAGTACGCTTGCGCCGTGCTCGCGACGCTGATCGAGGACGCCAATATTGCTCGATTCTTTTTGACGGAAATTGGCTACAACAAGCTGCTCATCATGGTGCAGCAGCAGCGAGACAAGGCGTCGACACGTCACTTGCGCCTCGCTGAGGACGGTGATGACGAGCTGGGCCCGGACCCGACCGTCGACAACTCGGAGGAGACACGCCAAGTGGGCGGCGCCAACCTCCTGTACGACGTCAAGCACAAAGCAAGTCGCGAGATGCGCGCCTTGCTCCAGCTACTGCGGCTCATTGCAGTGTGCATTCGCGTCGTTGCCAAGACCGAGTCCATCGAGAACGACGCGATCACCAAGTTTGAGGTAATTTTCACCGTCGTCTACAGCGAGGTGTTGACGCGAGCGGTGTAGAAACGGACCAAGGACAACTTTGTGAGCTTGCTGCACGAGCTAAAGGACCCACCCGTGCTTGTCCAAGTGCTCTGCGGCATCCGGCACTTGATTCCGCTTGCACCAACGCACAACTTTGACGTGTACTTTGAGCGGCCCGAGTTTGACCGGCTATACCATCTCTGCCTCGACCCAACGACGTCCGAGACTGTTCAAATCAAGGCGCTGCGCTGCGCACGCTTCCTCCTGCGCAAGTATGCAATCAACACGTGCCTTGCGCGCATGCTCTTTGACGGCCGCATGCCCGTGGTGCTGCTCTTTGGCCACATCCACATCAAGCTCCAGATCGAGGTCTCGTTTTCCGATGGTGGCATTCATCCATCTTATTCGGAGCGGATAGGCTGTCTACTTGCTCTTTGAAATCTCCATGATCTACATCAACAAGAAGCAGCGACGGGCGCTCGCGCAAACGTTTGACGCACCCGAGACACGCCCGATCCTCGCCGGGCTCTTTACCAAATTCGAGCTCCTCATGCAGGACGAAGCGTCGAAAGCGCACGCGCAGCTGCTCATGGACATTCTCATTCGACTCATTATCCAGCTTGACTTGCTCAACTGCGTCAACGATGACTTTCTCGTCGAAGCCATTTGCCACATGATTGCGACCATCTCACCCGACACCAAGGCGACGACGACCGACCAGCCCAACTTGCACACACCACTGCGGCCGATGGTACGTCTATACGACCTTGAACGACTTCTGATGTCTTTTCTAGCTCTGCGCGGCGCTCGCCAAGTTGGTGTGCAAGGGCGACAGCGCGCCGCACTTTCTGCAGCTCTCGCGCATCGATACGATCGTCAAGATCCTGAGCCAAGAGTCTACGTTGGGCGAGCTTATGGATCTGGCGTGTATTCTACTCACCCTCGCGTCGCAAGAGGCGGCCATTGCTGCGTACCTCGGCACGTCGGCGCCGCAAGCGATCAAGCATATTTGCCACGTGCTTGGTAGCTTTTACGAGCTGCAAATGGTCAACAGCGGTCCTGCTGCCCAAGCCGCGTACGACGACGAGGATGACGACGTCAGTAGCGCCGAAGTGCTCGACGAAGACGAGAACGACGCAACTACCCCGGGGACGTCTCAGTACCGCAAGTTTCGAACCGTGAAACAGCGGCTTCTGCTCAAGATCTTCTTTCCTAAGACCGAAGAGCTCAAGGTTTCTCGCCACTTGCACCAAATTTACAAATACGTACTGCACGTGCGATCGGCAGCATGCGGCTAACATGTCTCGATGGATGATAGTACCTCAAGCTGTTGACAATGATACTGGAAGTGCACGGCGAGTCCAGCGAAGTCCACGGCTGCCGCTGCGCGACGCGCGACGGGTGTCCACTCTGCGCTCCATCCGATCTCCTCCGCAAGGTGCGCTAGCCAAGGCGCGTGCATGTTGCTCACGCCAACGTAGGCAAACGGTGCGCACATTTGCCGATGGCTGCTACTCGCCAAGCGCATCTCGGTCGCGCACGGTGCGAGCTACATGACGGCGCCCGAGCGCGACGCCGACTCGATCGTGTTCCACACCCTTCGGCTGCTTCGCAGTGCGTGCTTCAATCACTTGTTTCGGTGCGACTTTCTCGAGGGTTCGACGCGCCCCCTCGCGAGCCAAAGCCTCACGGCGCTCCAGAAGCTCCGCGACATTTGCGCCAACGTCCACCACCCCAAGCTGCTCTTGTCGAAAGCCACGTTGCTGGACCCCATCGTCATTCTGGGGCAGCTGTGCGCCGAGGACGGGCTTCGCGAGTACCTCGGCGTGACGCTCGAGTTTTCTAGCTTTGTCTTTGCGATCATCAACGACGAGTACGAAACCCGATCCTCAAAAGGGTCGTTCTTATTCTTAGTCGAAAAGGCGTCAAGTCAAGGTACCGTACATGGTACGTGCGTGCGTGCTCGTGCTCTGTCGTCTTGCCTCGACCGAGGTCGTGCTCCACCACCCGACCTTTCGTCGCACGATGCACCTCACGGGCACGCTTTTGAGCCGCGACGACGTCGTCTCGGACACGATGTGCCTTCACAATGTGCTCATGTTTTACCGCAACACAGTCGCGTTTGGAAAGCAGCTCTCTCCGTACATCCACGAACACCTCAGCGACCGAGTGCTCGCGGCCCTTGGCCAGCTGCTCTCGCTCACGCTGCCAGCGACGCCCGGCTTTGACGCGGAAACCACGATGCGCATGGCCGCTGCCGATGCCCTCGCGCACCTCCTCTTTTCCCACCACAAGGGTCTTCGACACGCTATGAGTTCCGATGCTTCAACGCGCCATCCGAGTCTCGCACAGCGCAAAAACTCATCGATTGCCGCTATGACGACGCCGAGCAAGGAGCCAGTGGCAGCTGTGTTTCGCCGTATTGGAGCAACATGGCGCGCGCACCTCCACAACATGAACCGCGATGACCTCTCGTCGCTGGCGGGGATCGACGAGAAACTCGATATCGTGTACGAGACGCTCTACGGCGAACACAACGAGCTGCGCCTTTTCACGGACCTCCTTGCAATCCACACCAAGCTCCCGCCGATGCCGACGCCATGTGACGCGCCCAGTATTCCCAGTGTGCTAACGCCCCGGGGACCGCTGCCACCGCGCGACGTGCCTGTCTTCTTCGCCACCGAGCATCCGGTGCCGAGTGACCTCCGCGAGTATGCATTCCACGGGCATCTGGACCACGTGCCCGGGTCGGCCTCGCTCTGGAAAGTGCTTCGAAAGCTCTTTCGCAACTGCATGCGTCGAGGCGAACTGTCGGCGCTCTCGAGCGTTCAGATTGACTTGCTACTGCGCCTTCTCATGGTCTGCGCACCCGACGGGCGCAGTGCGACCTCGGCGGCGTCGTCCGCGTGGCTCATGGACGTCGAGCTTGAGTACATTCGGCTTGTCCATGACGTCGTACACTCGCACCCACAGCTGCACAACCTCGCCATGTTTGAGACCGTCTCGGCGACCGCGCACCGGTTTTTTGCCAAGGCGGCGAATTCCACCAACGCCTTTTCGTGCCGCATGCGCGGGTTTGTGCTCTTGCACGCGTTCGTACAAGACAGTTTGTGCATCGAGACTCTGAGCAAGTACCTCGTCGCTGTGCTACCGCCGCCGCCGCCGGAAGACGCCCCACTCGATGTCGACCCGATGGAGTATGAGCTGCCGACACGCGCGCGCGAGTGCTTGAACGGGCTCGTGGTTGCTCGGTGCCCAACGACGTGGACCAGCAACGAACGCGCCAAGCCCCGCACGCTAACGTCTTTTGCACCCGACGTGGCGCAGGCGACCATGCTGCCGTTCGGTCTCGGCGTCATTTCGGCCCTCGTTCGAATCGACAGCCGCTTCATCGATTGGTTTGTGTACCTCGGCGGCTTTGCGACGCTGCTTGAGACTTTGGACCTCGAGCTCGAGTTCCACGATGTGCCCGTCGTGCCCTCCCGCGTGACGATTCTCAAGCTCACGTTGGATCTCATGCGGCAGAGTCTAGAGTGCAGTCGCGAGCTGCCGCTTCGGGACGCAGTGACGAGCAACTTGCGTCTCTTCAGTCGTCTCCTTGTGCTCACGGCGCACACCAAAATGGAAATCAAGCAAGCCTCCATGGGTGTCGTGATGGCACTCGTCACGACGCCCCAAGCCTGCAATGCGCTGTACCTGCTGCAGGCCCACAACGCAGTGCTACCGGTCGTTAACAATCGCGAGGCGAGCGTCGTCCTGTCGCACCTCGAGATCTTGCGCCCGCTCTTTGGACAGATCGTCACGGAGCACGAGGGCCAGTACTTTTTCATCGAATCGAGCACAACAATCGATGCACGCAAGTTTAGCGCGCTCGCAACGCTGCGGGTTTTGCACTTGCTCAAGCACACGACACTCGTCAAGCTCTCGCGCGGCCTCGAGTCCCTCTCGCGTGCCGACTCGAAGACGCTCTCCGTACTGAGCGACGGCCGCTGCGCCAATGTGCCGCTCTGGCTCATCGAGCGCTATGTCGAGCGCGAGTCGTTCACGGGTCTGAGCCTTGGCGCCGACCACGACCGACAGAGCTTCGTCGTCGTGGACCTTGTCGCGCGCCTCAACGCACTCTTGGTGAGCCACACGAGTGGCGGCGAGAAGGGTTATGTGCTCACCCGCGCCGAGTATCTGAGTGCCGTCGATGAAAAAGAGCGCACGGCCGTCGCGCGTGCCGTATGGAGCACGCTACAGCAGTTGCCGAGTGTTGAGAGGGCAGCGCCCAAGCGGCTGCCGATTGTGCAGCAAATCTGCCGGGCGCTCATTGAGAACCAGGCGCAGCTCAACCGCACCGTGCGGCGCGCAACGCAGTCCTTGGACGATCATGCGCTCTGGCGCCGCCAGCGCACGCTCCATGGCCTCTTTGGGTATTTGCGCAAGAGCCTATTGCTGCGAAGCTTGTCGCTCGAGGCGATTGGTGCCCTCGGTCGACACATGCCGGTGCCGACGCCGTTTCACGAAGACCAGCTCGAGACGTGCATGGTAGTGGTCAACCAAGGCGAGGTCCGGATCGAGCTCCGCCACAGCATCTTTGCGTTCCGGTGTCCAAACGCACGTGCGTGGAAGCGTACGTTTCTGCCAGGCGACATTGTGTGGTGTCCGTCTTGGCTCACGACCGACCGCCGCATCGAGCCGTACGCCAAGGCCAAGTACATCATCAAGCACTGCGCGCCGCACACGACCGTGTTTCTCTGGACGCAAAAGCAGCACGAGTACTACCTCCCGGCGTCGGACCGCACGCTCCTCTCGAATGACATTTCGTCCATGGTCAACGTCCTTAGCAACGGCATGCCGGTCGATGTGCCGCCGCGCATTGCCGCGTTTTGTCGCGAAGACGCCGACTTGCGCCAGCTTCAAGTATACGGCATCCAGACGCTCGAGCACCTCGCAGCAGGCAGCGCTACGTTTGCGGCTTCGTTTGTGACGGACACGGGTCTCATGAATGCGCTCGTGTCATTGGCTTTCTCGACGCTCAACATGTCGCTGGTCGTCGCGGCGCTCGAGGCACTGCGGAGTATGACCGCCGAGCCGACGTTGGCCCAGACGTTCTACAGCCTCCGCCTCGATCGTTTTGCGCCAAGCTCTGTCCTGCACGGCATCCTCGACGCCGTGGACCTCTGGTGCGTGACGCCTGCGGTTGCGACGACGGTCCTCGCGCTCTTGCGTCAGATCTATGCGCTCGTCCCCGTCGCCCGCTCTACGATTCCGAGCACATGGCGCCTGACACACTTTTCGTCGATGCGGTCGTTCTTGGTGTCGACTGACTTGAGGCTCGTGGAGGCTGTCACAGCTCTCCTGCACGACCTCGTGGTCCCCGACCTCATGGGGGTCTTTACGGCGGGCGGACTCCACTTTGCGTGCGCACAGCTTATCGGCCGCTGCCCGGCGTCCGTCTTGCCCGACGTCCTGCACCTCGTGCTGCTGTTTTGCCAGGACACGACGACGAAAGCTGCCATCTGGGCCCATGCCGGCTTCCACGCGACGCTCGACAATACGCTTCTGCAGATGGTCGCGCGCCTCGGGTCGGCGACCGACGAAGAAGCCCGCAAGTTCATCGCGTTCTTCAACATGCTCACGTACTCGACGATCGACGCGTCCAGAGACGCGAAGTACCGCGTGTTTTTGGGCCAGAAAACCAACCTCGTCGCGCACCTCGTGCTGCAGATCGGTCTCGGCGGTGGCAACATTGACATTTACCTCGATTGCCTCTGGCGACTCTGCCACGGCAACGCCGCCAACGCCCGGCGCGTGGTTGGAGATAGCTCGTCGGTCGACGTCCGCCACGGGCTAGCGACGCTGGCCTCGACGCCGAGCGCCCCTGCGTTTGCCAATTCGCTCCGCTGCATTCGGTCGCTCTCGGTGCACCCTGGAAATGCCGACGCGTTCAGCTCCGTGGGGCTGCCCGATGTGCTCTTTCGCTACGTCGACGGTGAGTCGTGGCAGCGCCCCGAGACGAGCACAGCACTGCAGGCCCTCGGAAGCATCTTTGCGCAATCGACGCTTGGACGAAGCCACTTCACACCGACGCACATGGCCCTTCTCGCGTCCTTGTACGCTCGCCACCTCGAGCACCCGCCCGCAACGACCGAGCTAGAGACGTGGGGGCTCGTACTTGCCCGGATTTTGGAGCTCCTCAGCTGCGTCACGGCCGACGCGCGTACCCGGCAGATTGTCTGGACGCACTCTCAAGGCGCCACGCGCAGTGAACTCGGGTGGGGCAGCTGGATGCAGCTCTTGTACCCACCGCAGCAGCCGACCGCGATGCAATTGAGCGTCGAGGTCAAGCGGAGCGTTCATAGCCACACACTTTGCCTCCTTGCGGCGCTCTGCCTCGAGGACTCGGTCGCTCGGGAGGTCGTTGCGCACCCTCAGTGGTGCCGATACTTTTGTGCGCTGGCACTGGATGCGAGCGCGCAAGCTCGCGACATGCCCGCCGTCCTGCGCCTTCTCATCGCCATTGCAGAGTACTGCGTCGGAAAGAACGAGCCTCTGAGTGCCGTGCTGCCAGCGCGACCCCGTCTCTATCGACTGCTGCTCCTCGTGGGCCTTGACGAAGTGAACGCGCTTGTGTTTCGAGTGCTTTGGCTCTGGGAAGCGCAGGCCCGCGATAGCTCGGACGACGCCGCGACGCTCTTTATAAAGGAAGGCCTCGGCCTCGAGACGTACTCGGCCTGCCTCGTCGCGCGAGCGGCGGCGACGGCCGCGGACCGCTGTATGTTTTTGGGATTCCTCGTCCACTTGGTCCCCATCGCGTCCATCCGAGGGCTCTTGACTGTGACAATGGTGGCCGACCACGTGTGCGCGTGCCTCCGTCATCTACCGGACCGCATGAAATGGGCGGCGCTGGCGGCCACCGAAGACGCCAACTATGCCTTCGTCGCCTGGAACGATGCCAACCTCAACCTCGGCGCGATGCTGCACGTCATTCGGCTCGTGCGGCTTGTCGTCGAGCAAGACCCTCTCCAAGGGTTGCTCAAGCATCGACCAGTCTTCGATCTCCTTGGCGACGTGGTCGCGTGGATTGTCGATGCCGTTATTTCGCTACCGTCCGAGATGGTGGCCGTCGCCACGCACCTCCTCGTCGAGTGGTCGGAGGTGCTGCAGTACGCCTTCAAGTGCCGCGTTCTATCATTTGAGCGGCCGACGCTGCTGGCGTTCGTGCAACACATGTTGCGACTGCTTCCGCTTCTGCCACCGGAGACCGCCATTGCCGTACGTTGATGGGATCTTCCATGCAAGCTCAACAACGACACGTAGGGACTGCGCTGCCTCCATGTGCTCTGTGACAAGAACATCGAGGTGTGCCTAGCGCTGCAGCGACTCGGTCGCGGTTTCTTCTTTGACCTTATGGCGCTGCTGGGTCTTGCGACTCTCGGGGCGCAAGGTAAACGGCTTTTGTTCCAGCTTGTGCAAGCGCTGGTGGCGACGTCGTTTTGGCTCGCGCAGCATGCGGTGGCCGTTGGCTGGCCCAAGCGCTGCTTGGAGCACATTGAGGCCGAGATGTGCGCCCCGAGCGCGTGCTTTGCGATTGTGCGTCTTTTGCGCGTGCTCGGTATCGACGTGGTACTGCCGGGCGACCTCCGTGTCCGACTGCTACTGGCGCTCATAGCGCCTGCCATGGTGACCTCGATGTTCTATCACGACGCCCGTGTGTCTTGGCTCACGTGCCTCGACCAGCTGCTAACGTCAGCACCAGCGCTCTGCGATGTCCTTGTCGCTCACTGGGACGCGTGCGGTGGTCCGCTGGTGCGCCACCTCTTGCACCGCCTGCACGACGAGCTCTCGGACGTCGAGGTGCCTCGCCACGAAAGCGTGCCGTACGCAGCCATGCGGGTGCTGCAACACCTCATGCAGCCGGCCCTCGTGCCGTGTCTCTTGACGCTTGCCGAGGCATGGAGCAGCTTTTTCAAAAGCCACGTTTTCCCCGCGCACGACGGCAACATCAACTTGTATGCGTTTGTCGTTATCAAGTCGCTCGTGGCGGCGGCAGGCTCGCATCTTGTGGGCACGCCGGTTTATCTCAGCCTCCGAGACGCTCTCGAAACGCTGGATGCGATTCCGACCTCGATTTACCTCGAGCTTGTTGCCATGTACGTCCGTGACATCCTCGCGCATGTGACGTCGCCCAGTGACGCAGCGCAAGTCCCATGGTCTCTCGTTCTCGAGCGATGCGTCGCCGCGCTTCTCGAGCCGCACGGGTGGAGCCGGCATGCGGCGCTCCTCGCTCTGCACGCGTTTCTGCACATGCCCAGCTATGCGCCGTCTCTTCGAGCCATCGCGACCGCGATTGTGTTGGAGATTCGCACAGCCATGCAATCGCTCGTGGACGCTGTCGACGTGCCAGCGTTGGAGCATAGTCATAGCGTCGCGTCTCCGGTGCTCACAGTGCTGATTCCGATGGGTCTGGATGGCGGCGACGCCGTCTACGCCGCCGAGCACATGGACGATGCGCACGTCTTGCCACTCAGCAACAAGGCGGTGCTGGCAGCGACGCACCAGGGCGCCGAGGTCCTCGTCGTGCAGCTTCTGCGACACAGCAACGCAGCACTCTTGCGCCTCTTGCTCCATCACACGAGCGTCCGGCGCACAACGACAGCGCCGCCACGACCGCACCTCGTGGACCGCAAGCGGGGGACTGTCGCGGTGCCGCGAAAATCATTTCGACGATGCGCTGTCAACCCACCCTCAAAGCTTGGCCACACGTTTACACCGCTGGGGCTCGACGGCCGGCGCCAGTTTGCGCTCGCGATCGAATGTCTCGAACGACTGGACGCTGCTACGTTGGGTGTGTCCTCTCTAACCCGCCTGGACCGCACGGCGATGGTTGTGACACACGCTTTCTTCTACACCGACGATGCGCAGACCAGTGTTGAGTGGCTCCAGCAGCTCTTTGCAGCGACGGCGACGGCCGGCTCGACGCTAGCAGCCCAGCTTGTGCAGACTAGCAAGCCGCTCTTGCTGCTCCTCTTCCGCCTCGCAGGGTCGTGCGAGTCGCTTGCCCTACGCAAACTCGTAAGCTTCGTCACGATGCATACAAAGGGTCTGATGACCGTGTAGGCAACTGCGATGCTGTGGCTGGTCGTGCTGGATGACGGCGGGTCGGCGTTGTTCCAGGCAACCATGATGGCCAGTCGGTCGGATCTTCTGTACCATCTCGAGGTCAGTCTGGGCCTCGAGCCGCCACAACGCCATGCGTCCTATCCACCATCGCTGGGCTGGCTCGATTTGCTGCAAACCACGTGTGGCCTTCTTGCCGCGCTTGGCCGCGCCCCGGAATCGCTAAGTGTTGTGGTTGCCCACGGCTTTATCGGTCTCATCCTCCGCGTTCTTCGGACCGAGCGTCCTGCCGCACTGCACAAGTCCAACGTGCACTTTATGACGCTGCTTGATGCTGTATTTCGGCAAGATCTGGAGACGCACGCGAGTTTGGCGGCGCTCATGCTGCATGTACTGCAGTGTCTCGAGCTCGACAACGAGGTCGAGCTCCGGGCCAAGGCGGTCCAGGTCCTGCACCTCATGTGTCGCGACGACACGGGAAAGCAAGCGCTTGAGATGCACCTCTTCCCGCCGCCGTCAGTGGACGACTCTGCAAAGCATGCGAAAGCGACTGTCCACTCGCTCGAAGCCATGGCCCACCTCGTCGTTCTCACGGAAGCGCTCAAGCTTCGCGACTCGCGCGAGGCCGAGTGCGCAGCCATCTCTCTCGTTCTGATGCTGTGTTGCGACGTGCGACATCGAGAGTACCTCCGTGGGTGCCGCGCCGCCTCGCCCGAGTCGCTCGTGCAGCTCATCATGAGCCTCCTCGAGGTCACGATCGGCACGCGCCATCGCAACCACGTGGTCCAGCGAACCGAGCCGTTTCCGCTTGTCGTTGCCGCGACAGGCGCTGCGGCGCTGGCGTGTCTCGAACGCCTCGAGGTGCACAACGACGTGTTTCGCAACATCACCGTCGGGAGCCGCCTCGTTGTGCAGCTCTTTGCGGCCATGGGCTGCCTCGAGCTTGAGGTGTGTAACCGCCTCTGTGATGTCAAAAGCAAGCGTTCGTGTCTAGATTGCGTACACAGCGAGCTCGCTTCTGGTGGCGATCGTGGGTTTTGCGACCGACCCAAGTGTCGAAATGCTCTTGCTCGAGACGCCGGCGACCGAGGACAGCGACGACGACGACGAGGAGGAGGACCGCACGACGAGCAAGCGCAGGTTGCTCTTGCGCAAGGCGAGTTATATCCAAATGGACGCGCACCTGCCGATCGACCACCCGAAGCGGCATGCGCTCAACCGCCTCAAGTGCTTTCGGCACAAGGTCGGCGGCGCGATCCCGAGCTACTTTGAGCTCCTCGCGCGCTGCGCCGAGTCGTTTGCCGAGGCGATGCCGCATGCGCGCGCGCCGCTTGTCGGCAACGTGTTTGAGTTGCTGCACACGGCGCTGCGGGTCTTTTACGCGACGATCTACATCCCACTCACGGACGCGACGCGGGCGCACCACAGCCGCCTCGCCAACGTGTCGTACCGCGTTGCATTTGCGGTCGTTCCCGCGAACAATGACGTGTACGAGCGGCTCCAGAACGAAGCGCTCGCTACGCTATACCACCTCAGCTGCCACGTCGGCGACTACAGCGCCGCTGTGTTTGAAACCACGCTGGCCGTCGAGACGCTGCTCCAGCGCATTCGCGTCGCGTCGTCGCGGTGCCAGTACGAGTGCGCGCAGCTGCTGCGTGCGATCACGCGCCACGAGAGCGTGAAAAGCGTCTTCTACACCAACGACCTCTTTGCGTTTCTGAGCTGGATGAACGAACCGGTGTTTGTGGACATTCTGCAAGCGCTCTTGCAGACGGCGAGAAACCTACTGTCGCCCAGCAACGCGCTGTGCTACAACCCGCTCCACCTCGCGCGTCTTCTCTTGACCGAGACCAACGTCACGTCGAGCAGCCGCAGCGCGATCCTCGTCGACCATGCGACCATTTTCCGACGGGTGACCTTTCGCCTCCGCCTCGAGAGCCGTATCAGCCGCGTGCTCAAGGTCACGTACGTGCTGCAGATGCCGCCCGACGCGCCGACAATGGTGATTCACCGACGCTACCACCTCCCCAACAGTGACGCAGTGATCGAAGAGTCGTTCTTCTGCAGCGTCCAAGTCTCTGCGATCGCGTGCACTGCGTCGGTCGAGCACCGGAAAGATCTTGCGGTCGCCTTCACGTACGCGGTGGCGCCCCTCGACGCTGGGAACGTCTTTACGGCATCTCGGTCGCAGCCCGTCTTTGATAGCACGACCACGCTTGTTTTGGACATTGCCGACGAAATGGTCTGCGACTTGGCCAACCTCTCGGGGCCGCTCGGCGACGTGCTCTCGTTCTGCGTGCACAATGCGATGGTCGTCGAGGTCGACCTCATCTCGGAGCTGCTCGGCGAGCTCTGCAAGCACGACGCCGTCTTTTGCGACCCGAGCTTGCATCTTTGGTGCTTTGTGGCGTTCCTCACGCACTACGGCGGCGCCCACAGCACGCCGACGCACGCTATGGCCTGCCTCAAGGCCATCGGCGAAGCCGCGTCGCCCGACCACGCAACCTACCACACGTACTTGCAGCACGCAATGTACCTGCTCCAGATGCTGCGCATCTACGGTCTCTCGTCCGACCTAATTCCCGACCGTGACCGCCCCAGCGTTTGTCTTCGGCACAAGGAAGCTACCTCGTTTCTTCTAAGTCTTGGCGATATGGTGGCTGCGGGCCTCTCGCAGTCGACAGCCGAGACGTACATGAACATGCTCTTGCTCGAGCTGGGCGGTGTCGTCCGGTACCTCTGCGGTTTCCACCGCAAGCAGGACCACCTCTGCTGCACCCACCTGCAGCTGCACGCGACGCTCTCCAAGGTTTGGCCCGCCCACGCGCGCATTCTGGCCAAGAAGCGCTTTGTCAGCGACCATTTGCGGTACTTTGAGACGAATGCGCACCTGAGCGACGCGAGCATCGAGCACGCAGCAGCGGCGATCCTTACGCTCGTCGAGCACTCGAGCTCATGCTACAAGTTTGTGCGCCACCGAGGTACCTAATATGGCAACTCGGATGCGAGCTCATTTGAACGGTTTAGGACTTGACCTCGTGGGCCGCCTCGCCCACGTGCTGTACACACGCTATTACGGAACCACGCACCCGCAGAAGATCGCGACGATTCTGCGCTTCTTTGTGCTCATTGCGAGCTTTTTGCGCACCAACTTGCTCGTTGCGGAGTCACTCCCGCCCGAGATCCACCACGCGTTCTTCCCCAACGCGCTCTCGCCGCATGTCATGCCGTTTCTCGAGCTCGTGCTCTGGCCGCTCCTCCCGTTCGACGACCAAGACGTCTGGCTCGAGTCGACGATGCTGGCCGCGACGCTCCTCGCTCAAGTCGTCGAGGCGAGCGTCGACCGGCGCGTCATCGAGCAGCACGTGCTCGCGATTGGGTTCCGCGTGCAGAACACGCCGCGGGTGCTGATTTTGCAGCGGGCGGTGCAGCGCGCGCTTCGTCTCACGGCGCGCGACCACGCGTTCGCGGTGCGCGTCGTTCAGCACGTGTACTTTTTGGCCGTTGTCAAAGGAATCAAAACCGGCATTTTGAGCGCCGAGTGCCGCGAGCTGCTCCCGACGCATGCGATCACACAGCTCGAGACGCTCAGCGACGACTCGTTCGACGTCGTTTTGCGCTACTGCGTGCAGTTCACCGAGCAGCACCGCGACAGCCGGCTGCGCGAAATCCTCGTGCGCAACCGCAAGAAAGGCATCGGCGACATGCTCCACGCGGTTGACCACGCGGCGCGGCTCGTGACCTTTGTCCACCATGTGCTCCGCATGGTGCTGGAGATGTACATTGGCATCGTCGCCAACGGCACGCCACACGCCGACGCCAAGCTACGTCGCGTCACCGCCTTTGTCAATCAGCTCGAGACGCTGGCGCTCACCGTGCTCTCGGTCCTCGACCAGCTCGATGCGTCGTACTTCGGTCATATTTTCGTTCAGTTTCGCGAAGTGCGCTTCCCGGAGGCGCGCCTCGACATCAACGTCGTCGAGCGGCGGCACTTTATGCGCAACAACATGAAGAAGATCTTGTTTATCCTCAAGCGCATCATCGACCGCAAGAAGCTCGGGAGTCTCCTCGACGAAGCCTCGTTTACGCACGCCGAAGCCGTCTTGCGCGACATCCGACTCGAGTTTGCCGTCAACGGCCGCCGGCGCCTCGGCCAAGCGTGCGCGGCCGACGCCTCGATTGCGGATCTGTTTTGCGAAGCGATTGAAGCGCACGGCGTCGGGCCGTTTGCGACGCTCATGGTCAGCGCGCGCTACCTCTTTGCCCGCACGATGCGCAAGGACGACAACTCGAGCTATTGCTTGGATGAGTTTATGGTCGGTCACTTCAAAGCCGCGGGCCTCGGCGACGCCATCCGCGCACTGCTCCGCACACTCGGGCGGGGCGTCTCGTTTGTGTTAAAACATCCGTGCCTCACGCTCTCGGCGATCCGAAGCGCGTTTGTTTCGTGGCGACATCGCAAGGCCAAGGTGACGGCGCCAGAGGTGGCGAATGTCGCGCGCCGTCGGAGCATGTCGCTCGCCAACCACTTGTTTCACGGCGTGGACAGACCGCTCGTGTCCTTCTTCCCGCTGGCTTCGCTGCTCACGCTGCCGATGCACGAAGCGGTCGCGAGCACAAGCTTGCTCTGGAAGCACCTGCGCGTCTTTGGCACCGACCGGTTGCCGGACGGGACGCTCGCGCCCAAGCCGCGCTTCGTCGAGCGGCTCTGCCCGACGCTGCCGAGCGCCAAGCAAGAGCTTCTTCGGAATTTTTTGAAGACGGGCGACGCCGCGACGCTCGAGACGCACTTTGAGCACGCCGAGCTGTACCTGCTTCGGCAAAAGCTCGAGTCGCTCATTGGACGCGACACGGGCGCGGACGTGTCGCTCGACATTGTACAGCACGCGACGCTGCCCGTGAACGTCTGGCAGTTTATTCTGTCGCCGGTGCAGCACACGCGTCTCCTGCACCTCGAGTTTGTGCTCTCACAAGCGCGCACGTGCGGATCCCTCGCCGACGCGGTCTCGCACGCCAAGTCCCTCGACTCGCGCCACCTTGCGAGCGACCTTCGAAAGCTCTCGGGGCTCATTACGCTGCCGCTGCGGCCCCGCCCGGTGATCAAGAAGCCCCAGCGCTCGAAACGCCACCGCCTCCTTCGCCGGTCGTCGCGCCGAGCGATCAAGCAGTGGGTCGCGCGCTCCGTGGGCATGAGCGGCTATGTCGAAAAAGAAGATCGCAAGACCGTCGACGAGATCAAGAAGGACCCGACCGACATTGTGTACGCCGAGTTTGTGCTGCCGGTGGCCGACAAGGTGCTTGAGGACCCACTGTCGGAGCAAATGGCGTGGGGCTACCTCGTCGATGAGATCAAACGCAACCTCTTTCCGCGATGGACGTTCGAAGTGGACGACGAGAAGGCGCCGCGCCTCCGCCGCGTCTACGCGCGCAGTCTCCGATGGCTGCTCCGCGCTTTTCTCAACCTGACGTTTTGGCGCTTGGAAGAGCTCAAGCTGGACCTGCTCGACGACTCGTGGCCCGAGACAGACATCCTGCGCTCCAAGCACACGACGCGCACCAAGCTCACAGCCGACATTGTGCACAGTATCGTCATTTACAAGCACGCAATGAAGGCGGTCTCAGAGCTCTGCACCGTCTGGTAGACTTTTCAGAAATGGGGTGCGAGGTTGAGTCACATCATGCGCGCATGATAGGATGAAGGAGAGTGGGAGCTTGGGTCTGCGCTTCTGGCAACACTGGAGCTTCTGGGCCATCGGCTGGATCGTCCCGCTGCTGCTCTTTTGCGTCGTCTTGCCACAGCTCGACGCGGCAGCCGACTCGGTCGACTACTTTATGAAGTGGTTCATGGGCGGCTTCTTCGTCGTCATATACCTTCTCGTCGTGCTCTCGATTCTCCAGCTCATCAAGCGTATGCGCCATCATCGTAGCGACTTATGTCGCGACCAATTTCTCTAGAGAGCGAAAACATGATGGTTCAGGAGCGTCAGTCCGTGCGCTTCTACCCCGTGCTTGGCTACCACGGCAACTACCTCGCGGTCTACGGTCTCTTTATGGAGCTCGTGCAGCAAAACACCATTCCGTTCAGCAAGACGGTCAAATGGTATTCCACGCCGTATACCGACTCGTGCTCGAACGCGTGGTAGGGTCTCGGGCTTTCGCATGCCCAAGATTATTGCTGCGATCGGGAGCTTTGGCATTACGGGCGTCAACCTCGACGCACTCAAACTAGCGCCGCTGGACGTGCTCTACCTCAAGGCGTACGTCGCCATCACGGTCGTGTTTGCCTACCTTGTGCTGCTCAAGTGCGCCAACAAGTTCCACAAGAGCTACCCCAAGCTCAACAAACGGCTCACCAAAGATCTTCCGCCCTTCGTCAGCAGCATCCTCTTTGTCGTACGACGCTGCTTTGCATGTCTCATCATCGTGCTCGTGGAAATGGTTTTGCCTAGGCCATCATCAATACGTTCTTATCGTTCCTCTTTTGCTGCACGTGCGACCAGTTCCAAGACGCGGCGTCTCAGTGCACCCACACGCAGCCGTTCTTGTACGCATATCCCGACGTCAACCTCGTGTGCTGGAGCCCCGACCACCTCCCGTACGCTCTGAACCCGTGACAAACCCTCATCGCGGGCGTTAGGCTCGCGTTCATCGGGCTCGTTGGACTCACCTTCTTTCTTCCGATCGGCGTTCTCAGCGCCGGCATGGCCGAGGTCCTCTTCCCGAGAGAAGACGTCGACATCAAGTTTTCGCCCATCATCGTGCTCGCGAGTCAGCTCGGCAAGACGATCGCGATCGTGGCCGCGCTCTTCTTTACGTTTTACCGCGAGTACATGGTCACGATCGGCATGGTTATGAACATTGGCCTCTTTGGTCTCACGCTCGTCTGCAAAACGTCCTCCATCTGGTGTTTGATCCCGTTGACCCAACCCAGATCTGAACCGCGCGAGTAGGTATGTGAGCATCGTCAAGTCGTTCATTTACGTCATTTCGGTCTGGACGTCCATTTGCGCGTTTGCGAATCTCACGCTCGCGAATCCGACGAGCAACCCCGTGTACTATCTGAACCTTGGGTGGTTTACTATCTTTGTCGTCGCGCTCGTCGTGCTCTTCCTTGAAATGCGCATTCGGAGCATCCGCGAGGCGGCCGCCCGCGCCGAGCGGCTCCGCGACTACCAGCTCCTCAACGCCAACAACGACGACGTGCGCCTCACCGACTTTGAAGAAGACTTTATGCGCCGATCGCGCAAACCCACAACTGCGGCCCAACTTGAGGCACTCGCGCCGCCTGGGTTCCTCGCGGGCGCGCGCGCCAAGACCAAAGCCATCGAGAGCCAGGAGCTGCCGCCGCACCTCGACGACTTTCTCGAAAAAGCCCGACGGTCCGCCGAGCGCCCGTCCATTAGCGAGACCATGTTCCTGCGCCGGGCGCGCCGCCTCGGCCACCGCATCGAGCTCTTTGAGAAGGGCGAAGGCTATCGTCACAAGCAGGCGTAAAAACGGTAGGAATATATAAAGGTTCATTGCGACGGCGTCTCGGCTTGAAGCCACATGGTGAGGCCGGCTTTGGTCGAAGACGTTGGTTTGGCGACGACCTTGGTCGCAGGCGGGGTCGCCTCTGGCTCGACAGCAGGCGCCTTCTTCTTGAGCAGCGGCGACTCGAGGACGATCGGATGCAGAAGCTCAATGTGAAAGGCCGCGAGCTCGGGCGCCGACGACGGTGTGTAGAAAGGGCCAATGATGCGCGGCACGAGCTTCGTGAGCTTGCTCGCCTTGGGCATGTCCGAGACCTTGACGTGGCGCGACTCGGTCGCCGCTTCGTCGTCCGGTGCGCGGTCCACGTAGTCGACTTCGTCCTCGTACGCGAGCCACTTGTCGCCATAGTCGAGAGCGTCGTCGCCGTCCTCGGCGTCGTCGTCGCTGTCCTGGTCCGAGAGGCTTTCGCCGACCTCTTCTTCCTCCCACTCGTCGTCGCTGTCGATCGTGTAGTCGAGCGACGGCACGAGCGCCAACGGCTTCCGGCCGCGCCGCAGTACGCGTGTCTTCTTGGAGAACGTGCCGCAGTACGCGGGTCGGTAGTTTTCATGGAACTGCAGCAGCTTCTTGAGCCCAAGCGTCGGGTGCCGCACGCGGCGACTGGACCAGCTCCCAGATACGATCAGCGCACGCTGCTTGCGAAGGGACGCGACCGCCGCCACGTCGCCCGATGCTGTGGACCCTGCAAGCCCAAGGGCCTTGTCCATAGCAAGCAGCCGCGCCGCAGCATCAGCGTCGACATCCGAGAGGTCCACCGTCACTGGCGGCGCGGGCACGCCCGCCGGTTTGGCGGGCGTTGGCTGAAAGTACGAGACAAGCGTCTGTCGGCGCTTGGCGGCCTCGGCGTCCTCCTTTGCTTGGTCTTTCAAGCGCTTCTTCTCGGCCGCGTCTTCCTTTTCCTTGCGCTTGATCTCCTCTTTCTCGAGGGCGAGCGTCGCCTTTTGCTCCTTCTCGAGCGCGCGCTGCTTCTCCATCTCGACCGAGACGAGGAACTTGCTGGCCTTAGCCTCCTCGACGCTGAGCTTGGAGTCGTCGACCTTGGCATCCTGAAGCATACTCACGATGCGGTCGAGCGTCTTGAGGTACGCGCCCGTGCGCTTCCGCTGCTTGCGCATGCGGCGAATGACCTTGACCGAGTCGTCGTCGCCAAAGCGTCCGTCGAGGTTGCCGACCTCCCAAACGTATAGCGCGCGAGGCGTCGTGTCTTCAAAGAGGTTGGATTTCTTCGGCTTGGCCCCGTACGCGATGCGCTCGGCCATGACCTTGATCTCCATCTCGACGGCCGCGCTGTTGAAGACGTGGTCCGGCGCGAGGACCGCCCAGGCAGCACGAATGCCACGCACGAGAACTGAGAGCGCGTTCATGCTACCTTGCACGTACCGCGCTAGGTACGTCTTGAGCGCCAGTGCGACGTCACTGCTCTCAGAACGTAGCGCGGTGGCGCACTCGGCCTCGAGCGCTTCGTGCAGCTCGAGCCGCGAGTCGAGCGCGAGGCCGTAGATTTCGTGGGCGACAGGGTCGCCGCTTTGGATTGCACGCTCGGCGTCGTGGAGCTTGGAGAGGTACAGGTCGAGCTTCTGCTGCTGCGCCGGCGACAAGACGACGACGGGTGTCGGTGGCACGACGGGCGCGAGCACGACCTCGGGTACAATCTTCTTTTTGGCGGCGCGCGGCGTCGGCTTTTTGGACACAACTTCGACGGGCTCGGCGGTCTTGGGAGCCGAGGCCGCTTGGCGCACGGGCCGCGTCCGCTTCCGCGTCTCTTTCGCGGGCGGCTCGTCGACGATTTCGACGCTGGCAGTCTCGTCGTTGTCGCTTTCTTCTTTGCGTATCGGCGCCTTGCTCTTATGCTTCTTTGCAGGTGCCTTGGCTTCGCTTGCAGGGTCCGAGCGGCGCTTCTTCGTTGCTGTTACGGGAGCATCGTCACTGTCCATGGCCACATCAATGGGTGCATTGGCTGATCCCGAAGTCGGCGGAGCGGCCTTTTCTTCGTTGGTTGGCGACGCTATCTCTGGGCTCGGCGGTGTGCTACGGACCGCCGCATCCGCCGGTTCGGGCACCGGAGTCGTGGCGACCGATGCCACAGCGACAACCGTAGCCTCTCGCTTGGCGCTTTCTTCGATCGATTTCTTGATCGAAGTGCGCTTGGGCGTCGACGACTTGCACTGCGTCGGTGAAGCGGTCGGCTTGGTCGCTGCGATCGCTGCTGTTGGCTGGGCCTCGACGGAATTCGCCGCAGCCGGTGGCGCCGCCGCCCGGGTGACAGGCGAGAAGAAGGCGGCGATGGACTTCTGCTTCTTCTACACATGGCACGGATGAGGTTGCGGCCGTTCGTCGCGGCGGCTCATGTACCTCGGGCGTCGTCATCTTGGCCTCAAATATGGGGCCCCTCGCGCTTTCCCGCTATGGCACAGTGGGTTGCAATCCGGATAACGGTGCACACCATCTCCGTCGTCAGGAATTAGTGTGCGTTTTTGCGCGCGCAAAAGTTCTGGGCCACGGGTTCAACTCCTGGAAACGACTCCAGGTGCGTACTGCGCACATTGCGGGGCGAATGCAATCACCAGCGCCCGCTTCAAGTCTGTTTTGTTTCGATTGGACGCCACTTCGATCCCGGCCTCGGTACACGGCGGGAACGATCGCAGCGCGAAGATTTCGCTGTCGGTCGTTAGCCACTGGTTTCCCCGTCGTTTTACTAGTACATGTGTAGTCGACTAACAATCGGCAACTCGCACCGTCTCCAAGAGGTTGTCCAATCAACCGTAGCAGGTGGAAAAGATGTCAACACGGGCCCGTGTGATGGCAAAAGATTGGTTCGTACGTGGTGGGATGTCTTGCAGAGGTGTGTTTTGTAGCGTGTGCGTGCTAGATAAATAAAAGTGGAGTATTAACGTGATTAATATGCTAAAAATGCTAAAAATGCTAAAAATGGTTAGCAAATATGCGAGGTCTTATGGTGTAGCGGTTATCACGTCTCCTTGACGTGGAGAAGGCCCCCGGTTCAATTCCGGGTAAGACCATCTTTTTACGCCCTACAGACAATTTTAGACCTTTTCTACATTTTTTCGATTTATTTTCTTTTATTTTTTCAATTTTATTTATTTATCAGCCATTCGTCACCGACCATTTCACCCACCGTGTCACAAACTGACAATACACAATTCAATATCGAACTC